GCCGTCGATAGCGAAGAAGCGGCTGCAGTTCGGTGGTCTGTGGAGGCGTCGGAGTCGGAAGTTGTAGCTCGGTGGAAGGACCGGGCGGGAGGCAGCGGCCGAGGTGTCGATCACGTAGCCCTTGCCGAGAGCATCTTCATCGTCGCCCTCAGAGCCGCCCGTGGCGATCAGATTGGGGTACAGCGGATGTTGGGCGATGGCAAAGACGGAGTCTTTGTGGCCGTCAAAGTAGGCAATGCTGTCATTCTGCAGAAGGATTTCCTCGCCCTCGTCGTCGGACCCCATGGCCATATCACCGTCCTCATCGGCATCCTCGACCATCTCGTGAACGTCGTCCTCGGCAAGCATCTCGACTTCCGCATCGTCCTCGGGTTGGTCGCGGCGGGGATTTGACGACGACATTTTGTGTTGGTGAGAGCTGAAGATACGCCCGGCGTGGGAGGAGACTAGGATTTGAGATAGTGTATAGGGAGGATTTGTATTGCGTTGTGTCGCAACCCTCCAAGCACCAGTTGATTCTTCTGTCTGCAGCTGATAAACGAAGTCAAGTCCAAGGAAAGTGGGATGATGGCGGGGTCGTGATTTTTAATCCTTGCAATCTGCCCTTCTGCTTGATAAGCAACCCCAACCCTCCGCCACAGGTTCCAAGGGGTTCTGAGAGGATTCAGGGGAGTTCCAAATTCCAAATTCCAGGCTTCAGAGTATGAAGCGTCTGTTTAGTTGTTCAACCTCTGCGAGGGCTTTGCAAAGAACGTGATGGGTACACCAAATGTGAATTAGAAATCGGCTTCGTACCTGAACTAACGCGATACTCTATGCTTCTACCCGTGTTGAACTCCGTCCGCCGACCGGCCCCAGATGCTTCTCCTTCCGTTACCTATCATCTCATGTGTTGAAAAGCAAGTATGCTAGCGCTTCCGTTTTCCCCCGTTGAAGTCCCCCGTCCTGGTTGAAATCCGTTTCCAATGCTCGATGCATGCTGGTTGGGTATATGGGTGGTTGAACCTTGAAGTGTTGAAAGCCGATTTCCCCCGCTACGTACGTAAATGATGAAATCCCAGATGCGCCTGATTTTTTTTTATGCAGCCCTTTTGTGTGTTTCAATCCCTGCGATTAGGACGAATTCTCGCCGGTGGTGTCCTCAACAGGCGGACAGGTGCAGAACAGGTTGAGGTCACCGTATGCTATCGAGTTGTCAGCAAACGCATCCAGGGGCGTGGAACAAGAAAAAAACTCACTGTCATCAACCCGCGCCACGCTAGGCCAAAACTTCTTCTCCTTCAACCAAGCCACGGGGTAGGCCGCCCGTTCCCGCGTGTACGGCCTATCCCACTTGGCTCCCGCCTCACCATCCCCAGAGATGATATCGGTCATGGGGTGCGGCGCCATCTTGAGCACATTGCCCTGCCTCGGCGCCTTGCCCTCCTCAACCTCGCGAATTTCCTGCCGGATGTTGACCAGCGCCTCAACGAACCGGTCCAACTCCTCCTTCGACTCAGACTCAGTCGGCTCAATCATGAGCGTGTTGGCCACCGGCCAGCTCATGGTGGGCGCGTGGAAGCCGTAATCCTGCAGCCGCTTGGCAATGTCGATGGCCTCGACCCCGGCGCTGTCCTGGAATGGACGCACGTCAAGGATGAACTCGTGCGCGCACCGGCCGTGGTTGTTGGTGTACAGGATCTGGTAATGAGGCTTGAGCTTGCTGAGGAGGTAGTTTGCGTTGAGCAGCGTGATGGTGGTTGCCTTCTTGAGCCCTTCTCCGCCTGGATTACAGAATGTCAGTGACTGCTTATTGGGGGAATATAAAGAGGAGGGGACTTACCCATCATAGCGTTGTACGCCCGAGCTGATGGGCAGAATGCTTAGAGCTACTCGTACGGTGCGCTTGTCTGACTGGGTGGGTTCGGGTCCTCGCACATTTGTCACGTCCTTGGTCGGGAGGTGGGGAATCAGATGCTCCTTGACACAGATGGGCCCAACACCCGGGCCGCCACCGCCGTGGGGAATGCAGAAGGTCTTGTGCAGGTTCAAGTGGCACACATCAGCACCAATCTCACCCGGCGAGCACAGCCCAATCTGCGCGTTCAGATTCGCGCCGTCCATGTACACCTGCCCCGCCGTGGGCGTGCACAATCTCGCACACCTTCTTGATCTGCGGCTCGAACACGCCAAAGGTGCTCGGGTACGTGATCATCATGGCGCCGATTTGGCTCGAGTGCTGCGCGCACTTGGCCTCAAGATCCGTCAAGTCCAGGTTGCCTGTCTTGGTGTCACACTTGACCGGCAGCACGCGCATGCCTGCCATGGCCGCCGACGCCGGGTTCGTGCCGTGGGCCGAGACGGGGATGAGGCAAAGGTCGCGCTTGAGTTCGCCCCGGCTCTCGTGGTACTTGCGGATGGCGCGGAGACCAGCAAATTCACCCTGGGCGCCCGAGTTGGGCTGCAGGGATACGCCGTCCATGGCGGTGATCTCCTTGAGCTGATCTTCGAGTGCATTGATGATATCCTGATAACCCTTTGTCTCTTCGGCGGGGGCGGCCGGGTGGACATTGGAGAAGCCGGGAAGAGTGATGAGCGCCATCTCGGCACTGGCGTTGAGCTTCATGGTGCACGAACCGAGGGGGATCATCGAGTGAACAAGAGACAAGTCTTTGGACTGCAGATGGTGGATGTACCGAAGAAGCTCAGTTTCGGAGTGATGCGTGTTGAAAACGGGATGTGTGAGGTAGGCCGACTGTCTGCGTAGAGGCTCGGGGATGTGAGAGAGAGCGGTGGCCGATTGAGATCCTTCGAGGAACTTCTCCAGGAGCGGAGCGTATTCTGTAAGTGACGCGCCGCCGTTCTTGCCGCCAGCTTTGGCAAACACCTTGATCAAAGCGAGAAGATCACGCTCCTCGACAGTCTCATCGACGCTGATGATAACACTGTCAGAACCATTTTGGCGGATGTTGATGCCCTCGTCCTTCGCAAGGTTCTTGATTTCTTCGGCCTTGCCGGGGCAAGAGATAACAACAGTATCGAAAGCCACCGGCTCCGAGCCAGAGTCTAGGCCGAAATGGTGGGCGGCAGACTGGACAACCCTTGCGCCCAGGCTGCATCTTTCGGCAATCTTCTTCAAGCCCCCAGGGCCGTGATACACAGCGTAAAAGGCGCTGATATTAGCCAGCAGCGCTTGCGCCGTGCAGACGTTGCTCGTGGCCTTCTCTCTCCTGATGTGCTGCTCTCTAGTTTGTAGGGAAAGCCGGAGAGCCCGTTCCCCGAGTCGGTCCTTTGAGACGCCAATAAGGCGGCCAGGCATTTTCCTCTTATGCTTGTCTGTGATAGCGAAGAAGGCGGCATGGGGACCGCCGAATCCTAACGGAACACCGAATCGCTGAGAGTTGCCGAAAGCGATGTCTGCACCCCACTCTCCAGGTGGCGCCAACACGGTGAGAGCCAACAAGTCGGTGGCGGCGCTGAGGAGCGCGCCCTGCTTGTGGACGGCGTCGGCAAGCCCCTTGAAGTCGCGCACCTGACCGTAGGTGTTCGGGTACTGAACCAGGGCACCAACCAAGTCGTCCCCTACACTCTCCAATTCGGAGAAATCGGAAACAGACAAGTCCATCACCCGAACATTGATGCCAAATCCTTCAGCACGGCTACGCAACACGTTCAGCGTTTGGGGGTGGACGTTCTTGTCGACAACGTAGGTCTTGCCCGGGCGCTTAGCCCTGGACGTGGGGAGAGCATTCATCGACACCGTCATAGCTTCGGCGGCGGCAGTGCCCTCGTCCAGGAGACTGGCGTTGGACATGGGAAGGCCAGTCAGATCCGAGACTAATGTTTGGAAGTTCAGGAGCGACTCGAGACGGCCCTGGCTGATCTCGGGCTGGTAGGGGGTGTAGCTAGTGTACCAGGCGGGGCTCTCAAGCACATTGCGCTTGATGACCTCAGGAGTAATCGTGCCGTGGTAGCCGGCACCGATGAAGTTCTTCCTGCTTGACTCGTTGCTCTCGGCAGCAGCTCGTCCAAGAGCCATCACTTCCCATTCTTGGTGGCCTTCCTTCGTCGCCCGGCTGGCGGCGGAGTCGAACGCATCTCGACGGCGCGGGAAGAGCTCACGGGACGAGAGGATGTCGGCGGGGATGACCTGCTGGACGAACTCGTCCATGGATTTGACCGGCGGGGAGAGTGCCTTGAGCATTTGCTGGGCGCTCTCGTCGTCGGGGCCGATGTGACGTCCTGCGAAGTTCTCGTGGGTTGGGAAGAGCTGCGGTAGTCTGACAAACGGACGTGCCCGGGTAGTGTCAGTGGCCGAACTGGTCCATCTGGCAGTAGTGCTGCGTATACAAGAGGTGCAAGTCCATGGCCGCCCCGCAGGAGCAGCGCGAGATGCGAGTACGGAAGCACCCAGGGTCCGGCCAAGACGGCCAATTTGCCGTGATGTAGACATTCTTGGAGTTGTAAGTGGGCGGAACGCCGGAAAGCCAAAGTTTCAAACTATCAACCGTCAGTCAGGGCGTCCCGAAACCAAAAGATAGAAAGCAATGCATTGCACCGACCGACGACTTCTGACCAGTATTTTCCTCCCTTGAGACACCGCCTAACCACCGCCACTCCGCAAGTCGGCAACCCGAGTCGGAAGAAAAAAGATGGCGAATGTGAAAAACGCCAAGACTAGGAACAGCCGGCCGGTTGCGATTGACGTCAGAAATCCAGAAATCCCGAGCTCTGCCCCTCAGAAATCGCCAATTGACCCCGGATCTGCCGCTTCTCGCCCAGGGGAGAGGAAAAGATGGGACGGAGAGTGTTGATGAAGGGACAGAAGGTCGGCTAGGTCCCGGTCGGACAACACTTCACCAGGGAGTCAGCAGATCACACAAAATCCACCGCTATCGGTCGCCTATTCGGCTCAGATTCGGCCCCCTGGTGGCATCTTTGGAGGAACTGATAAGGTAACCGATTCGGGTATTCTCGGGCCGCCGGTGTTCAGGGAGCCCTGTCGTGATTGTTGCGCTGCAGTTGGGTGAAGAAAAACGGTTGCCAGCGAAGCCCCTCCTCCATGTGTGGCCCGGGAGCGACGGGAAAAGACCCGCCCAAAGCCCAGGCCTTCCCGCCCCTTGCCCTTCCTGGCATTGGCGCCACTGACCCCGGAAGCAGCACCCAAAAAAAATCTGGACCTCAGGTCGTTTCCGACGTCGAGTACAGCCAGCGCATTCAGACTCGGACATCCACACCACCAAACAAACCAACCCCAAATCGTCCATCCATACCACCTTCCAAAATGTTCGGAGGCTGTGAGTTGCAACCCCGCTAGCAGCAATCAACCTCGATTGTGTCGAGTTATTTCCAGTTGCTTTTCTAACCTCAACCCTCTGAAGTCCAACCCCCCCAAGCGTCGCCCGAGGAGCTCCTCGCCGCTGAGGCGGAAGCCGCCTTCACCCTCCAGCGCGCCCTCGCCGCTGCTGCTGCGCTCTACTTCTGTATGAAACCCGCTGGTTCATCCGAAAACTCGCCGACCCGGATCTAACGCAACACGCAGCCCCCTTCGTCGTCGACGCCGTCTCCAAGATGTTTTAAACTTGACATCGACCGAGGCTCAGCCATCATGCCACCGCTTCGTGACACATGAAAGGCTTCGCCTCCCATTTTACGACACGACATAGAGTCCCATAATAGAGGCGTGGGCTCTGGTGCGGCGTAAATATGGCCAAAGGACCCGGGGAGAAAAGAAAGGACATCGCGGGGAGCCTTGCCCTCCGAGCCCAACGATAGTCCACTCCACTGCGGGGCCGGAAAGCCGTTTAGACGACTAGACGCCATTGCCTCTCCCTCTCCTGGTGTACGATACTGTGGAAACACGAGCATATGCATTTCCCGCTGCTGGGTATGATGCGGGCGGCGTATATTCCACTCCTGAGAACTGGCGGCTGTCGGGGTAAACAAAGCCACGGCGCCGACATAATGTACAAATAAACAAAACAATGCATACCAAGACACCATCACGTTAGCCGATGCACCCATGATTCGCACCGATATCTTCAACATCAACAGAGCCCTTCTTCGCCCGCCCTTGCGAAATGCTACATAACTTCGGCTATTACATCGCAAATCCTCCTGGGTATCATTCCTGAAGCCAGACCCCGCTCTATTGCGTAGCTTTTTTGACAGGTGCCGGCGTTGGGTTATGTTGGGTTTCCCACGCCTCGAAGTCCTTCTTGGCCTCCTCAACCTGCGTCTTGAGATGCTGCAGCTGCTTGTCGTAATCCTCAAGGATCTATCTCGTCTGTTAGCTGTTTTGACGACCCGCTACCTTGGCAACAACGTACCTTCTTCGCCTTGGCCTCAATCTCCTCACCCAGTCCGTCACCATCCCCAAACCCAGGCTTGTTAATCTCGTCCTTGAGATTGTCCGCATACCCCCTGAGGATAATCAAGCGGCTCCACAGCTCCTCCATGCGCGCGCTCAGCGCCGGGTCCTGGATGCTCTTGTCGATCTTGGCCAGCTTCTGCTTGAGCTCGTCCTCATCCCCGCTCAGAGCGTACCCACGGTTGCGCAGCACCTGCACGCGCGACGCGAGCACCAAGCAGCGGCGGCTCAGCTCGGCGTGGCGGCGGCGGGCGTTGAAGGCACGCACCGTGTGCTCGAGGTCGTGGCGCGACAGGATGGCGTCGAGGCTGGCGTTGATTGCGTGCAGTTTGTTGTTGAACTCGACAATAACGCGCCGCTGCAGCGTCACCCGTGCGATGATGGACGGGAACCCGGCGCAGAGCACGGGGATGTAGTTGGGCGCCGGCTTGTGCTGCAGCGCTTCCTCCCACTCCTTCGGGTCCTCGTTAGGGCCCGGCCCGTACAGCGGCACCGTGTGCTCGTCCACCTTGTTGTAGAGGTAGGTCTTGAAGGCGCAATTGGGGTTGGTAGGGTCCCATTTCTCCGTGATGAGCTTCATCTGCTCCGGGATCGGCTTCTGGTCTAGTTTCGGTGCCGAGAGGCGCATGTTAGCACGTCGCGTGGTCGCGGTGGGCAAGGGGGTTCGGCGGAAGGATTTTGGGAGGTATGCGGTGCCAAAACGTACAGCTTGTGTGGCTGTTGGGCTGCCATAATGAACCGCCCGGTTGCGGGTTGGGATTTAGCTGCTGCTGTTGCTGCTGCTGTTGTTGTTGTTGTTGTTGTTGCTGCTGCTGCTGTTGCTGCTGTTGTTGCTGTTGCTGCTGTTGTTGCTGTAGGTTCTCTGCATCAGCCACTTATTATTCCTCTGCTGTACCGGAGAGCGCTTACGGTTGAGCTGCCGAGCGCTGGGCCAAACAGGCTAGTCGAACTGGGACCAAAAACCGACTGGCCCGCAGGCCGATTCATTGATGAGAACATAACAGTGTTCACGGCGTCGAATGTCGGCGTCGCGTGGGGCTCCAAGAGTTGTCGCAAGATCAAGGAAAACAGTCGACAACAGAGTTGCCGGGAGCTGTAGACGGCGTTCAGACTCTCTCGTTTAGCAAAGAAAAAGGGTTTCTTCCACAATTGGCGATTAGTAAAGGTCTCGCAAAAACAACAACAGATATAAGCAGTGGTGTTGGCGATTGGGCCTTTGTTGTCGTCGGTCGGGGAGAGCTTTGCCTTTGCACAGCTTTTTGGCTGGAGAAGCGCACTCCACTGTCGGGCTGCTTGTTTCCAGCGCGTCCGCCAAGCAGCAAGGAGCGGTCCGAGCGCCTTGAACGCACAGCCAATTACTGCCAGCCCAAGTGGGACCCACACATCGGGAAGCCGAACCTCACAGGTTGAAAGCATCACCAGCTCCAAACCACGCACAGCTTTCGAATCGCAGGACGGGCCTGCCCACACAGTCAACATGGCAGCGCGGAAGCCGGTGTACGTATTCCCGAGTTTGCGCAAACCACCGCAGTCGCCAATTGAGCCGGTTGGAGGGAATCAGCCCGGGCTTCGCTGACGAAATACAGCTTCAACCAGCAGGTCCTCTACGACACCACCCCGCTACCGGACTCGATCCCCAAGGTCAAGGAGATCGGTGCTAGCTCTGCCCCCCTTTTATCGGCCTCCTTCTTTATCGGCGCCCGGTGCAAGGACTACAATGACGACTACATGCAATGCAAGACCGAGAACCCGGGCAGGGGCGAGTTTGAGTGCATGAAGGAAGGCCGCCGTGTCACCAGATGCGCCCGGAGTGTGTACGTGCCCCTCTGCTCAGGGTGCTGGGATGGAGATGATCCACCAGTGGCTTGGATTTGGCTGTGAGTGTCCGCATGCTGACACTCTAGTCTCTAGGCTCGAGGACATCAACAAGTCCTGTCTCGAGCAGTTCCGCAACCACTGGCAATGCTTGGAAAACAACAACCAGCAGCTATGGCAATGCCGCCCTGACGAGTGGAAGCTAAACAAGTGTGTCTTTGAGAAGCTAGTGCGTTGGCCTCCTCCCTCCCCCCTCCTCTGAACAGCTTGCACTGACCGAGTCCTCTTTGGCAGAACCTCGAGAAGGTTATCCCCGATCAGCCCAAGCAATCGACACCCGTACACCTCAGACAAAGACAGGTTTTCGCCCACAAATGGATCCAGCGGTGGGAGAAGCCGTTTGTGCCGGGGCAGTCTGAGACATCAGAGTCGTCCTGAGTGGGCAGGGTGGCGGTTCTTCTCATGGCATAGCAGATGCGTGCCTTCACGCGCCCCGGAGATACCAACGGGCCGCTGGTTTTGGGCTCAGACCTGTACATACATACTGAGAGTTAGACAGGCTCATCCGGCTATACCTTGTGAACTTCTTGTTCTTTTTTTTGCAAGTTCATATTCTGCCTAGGAATCTCGCTGTCTATTGGTGTTTGCACAGGCGCGACATTGGCCCCAGGCATGCTCCAACCGCTGACCGCTGGACTTTGACCAAAAGGGAGGAGACGGCTTGCCAGAGACCCCCAGAAGTGACAGTCAATATCTTTGCTCGTCTGTGGAGAAAACGAAATCTGGGAGGTAGTCACCTACAAAGCGACTAATGGCATTGACAATTAGCAGCATTGCCCTGGCTACAAGCTTGAGTTCATGAAACGGTAAATGGCAGCAAGCATTGGGTTACGCAGGGTCCATTCAAACCTCGAGCAACTCGGTCATCTTGATAACGTCCCCAACACCGGTCTAGCGAGCTGAACCTCGAGCTACACCACCACCCAATGCCGCAAACCCGGCAATAGCACTGTGTCCCTCAATGACAAGGTAACAGCGAGAGTCATCGCTAGTTCACGAGGAGACGTTGCAAACAAGCAAGTAGGTGTTGACGCAACTTTACCGTGTCAAGATCAACACACAGCAACCACACAACAAGTCTCGGCACAGGTTACCTAGTTCTCACTCTGCTACTGTTCACTGTGATGCTGCAAAAAGCGACCTAATGGTTGGTGCCCTGGATAGTGTCCGAGTTGCACATGACGTATGCAGATGACCTTGTGAAGCAAGATAAGTGAGTGTTCCCTGGTTTCTCCCCGTTCGTTACAGTCAGGCACCATCTCCATTCAGGAGCGCCTTGTATGAGGGTAAAGTGGGTAGAAACTTGAATGACACAAACTACCGGCGGTAGCATGCCTAGTTTAACCACGGCTGACTTGACGTACGTCAGGAACGAAGCCGGTGTCGTTGGTCGTTTGCTTTGTTGTAAGGCACGTCGCGAAAACCGCAATCTATCTGCAACGGATTCTTCCCGATAACCCCCTTGCTCTCGCATATACGCAGCAAGTTTGCAAGACCTACATACCTCTCATAACGAACGATCAACTGCCTATCGTGTTGTCTCGGGTGGACGGGGATTCGAGCTGTCTGTTGTGCTCCATGCACGTCTGGACACAACGACGGCCTAAATCAGCCGCCAGACAGACCCAGATGATGAGAAACAAGGTCATCCTCTCGTCGAAGCCACAATCAAAATGGCACAAGCAGCATCCCGAGACCGGCCGCTTCTGGCACACTAAACTGGCATCTTTGACGCGCGTCCTTGTGTCACGTAGGGGATAGATCAGGTGGAAAGACGAAAGGTTGGTTTCCTAGCGGCGGGCGTGACAAGACAGCTGGTCGTTGCCAGGCGTCGACCAGCCCTCAGCTCGACGGTCGTCACAACCCCCCCCCCCCCCAGACGCACTCACACAAGCGCACACAAGCCATCATACGCACACACGATCTCGCCTCCGCCTCAAATCTGGGCAATGTGTATTCATGCTCTCACACAGACCGGCCGCCAACAGCGTACCGGATCCAAGCTGCCGACGTAAGGGTGGGAGAATGGGGCGGGTACCTAACTCCGGGACATTACCTCTCCGGGGCCGGAGGGATGGATCCTTCGCTTGGAGATCTCAAAACAGGCCGCGGATTCCCCAGGCCTTCCAGCCCACGCGCAAGATGTTAGGCGGTAAACAAAAATATCAGACGGGTTGTTATGGGTTGTTTGAAGCCGATTGTTATCGACCCACACCGGCCAGTCTCCGCGGCCTAGGCTCGGAATTTTGGGTTCGGTGCGTGGCTTGGGGGCGGAAAGGTCAATAGGTAGGTAGGCTCGGACTTATTAGGCTTCATCGCAGCTGCGACGCAGAATCCAACCAGCGGCAATTCGCCTGGTATGGGTCCGGCCAACACAAGCCCACAAGCCTGCGGTTGAATGGGGTTTGCACCGATCGCGAAGGGACCTAACCAGGGAACACACAACAAACAGGTCACAGCGTCGGAGGCACAATAGCGGGGTTGAGAGGGGTTGGCCGCACTATGAGGCCCGTTTGTTGTCCGCTGTTGTGGGACGTCAATCTCAATCTCCGGAGTGACTAACTGTAGAGTTAATTATCGCGGGCGTGTCCGAAACACCATGTTGTTGTTGTTGTTGTTGTTGTTGTTTTTTTTTTTTTTTCGTTTGGAAGCAAATGACCTCAGCGGCGTCGCAACGAATTCCGTGGCTTGCAGGGTGTTGGGCGTTGAAGTGGAGGTCGCCTTAAGGTTTTGTGGAGATATGCCCCGAGCAAAAGCTCGGACTCGAAGATCGGGGAAAGATCATCTGGATCAGCAAGGAATCGACGCTAACTTCGAGCTGACCTGTTTGTTTCCTGACTTTCAAAACAATGTGGCCTTTTTGTTTGGGCATGTTTACACTCCAACTGCGTAACGTCCCTTCACAGATTCTTCGGTTTTGGCACCGGCCCAGGTCCCTTGAGGATAGATGCTGCTCTGGTTTCTGACCCCTGCTTTCTGCATTTCGAATGTCAGAAAGTGTTGCCCCACTGGGTTCCTCATATCTACCCCGTGCCTCAAAATGGTGGAAACTGGTGAACCCGAAAACGAGCTTCAAGAGCCGATTTAACTTCGGATATCGCTACGGTGGCGAGCCGCATTGAGGTTTCGCCGTGAAGTCCGTCGGCGACCTAACAAGGCTGGCGTGTGGCGTTAACGCAGGCTGGTTGTGCTTTCCAGCGTCGATGGGATGGTCGAGCCACGTCCGTTAATCTGCCTCGGGCACCTCCTCGCCTTGGTACCGATCCGAGTTCTTTTTGTTTCTTCCCCCTCTACACCTCAGTACGGGAGGTATGCACATGTATAGTTCCGGCACGGGCAGGATCAGAAATTGGCATGAACGGGAGGTGTTCGGAATGCTCCACTCATACTGACCGTGGGGTCTTGAAATCTAAGCTTAAGGTCGGTATGTGACATGGCGCGGACATGATCGTGACAAGAGGGTGCATTGTTGATGAAATTGGACTTCGGTGCCTTTTCCAAAGTTCGGTGCATGTCACTGCATGATGAGCCAGCTGCATGCCAAGTGTGGCCGTTTGGTGGAGAAGAAATTGACCCGATAATAGCGCGTTTCAGGAGGGCGCCGTTTGCTCTCATTGGGTAACACTTCCGCTTTCAAACAGGGCAGCGGGTTCATGAAAACAGGCCAGCGAATGAGCAGCAATCCAAGCAGCCCAAAATAGGGAATCGTTCACAAAGAACATGCCAGAGAATCCGATCGCATAAGGAGAAAAAAAATCATCACAAACGTGATAGCGAGTATCGATTTGATATCCTCAAAAATTGCAGCCAAAGCCCCTCTCTTTCCCATGGTGCCAGTACCATCATGGATGGCTCCGGAGCTGGTGTTTGACATCGGAGGCGCTGCCTGAAAACAGAAACCGCCCAGCTCCATTTTCCGCAACCCCCGTCATCGTTCTGCAAGGCACAGTCTTCCAATTGGTTGCCGCAGATGTCAGGGGCGGCAGAAGTGCAAGCCAAGTGAGGACGAATTTGACGCCGCACCTCTTGGGGTCCAGCTCCTAGGGTACCCAGGTGCCCAGGTTGCCCAGGTTGCCCAGTTCCTTGATCAAGTGAAGCGTGTGGCACCGAATCGAACCTGGAGGGCGGTCATGGAGGCGGCCCGTTCAGAAACATGGGATGGACGGTTTCCTGTGCCCAGGAGCCAATGGCCTTGTTACTGTTGCACCCCATCTGAGGTGGTCGGGAGACCCCGACCAGGGCAACAGAAGGCCCTGGGCACAGCTACTGGGCAGAAGATCTCGACCGCAGACGATCCGTGACGATGCACCAGTGCGCAACCCCTCTGCGGTCGTGAATCATGGCCGCCAGCGAAGTCGAACATTGAGAAGTCCGAGTAGTTATATGTTGAACCGAGCCTCGCACTGCTCCTCCCCTCCCCCCTCCCCGGCCGAGATTTCTCTCTGATCTGATCGCGCCTCATCAACCTGAGAAGCTGATGAATCCGCACCCACAACCAAGTCCCTGCCGTTTGACGTCCCTTGGCTAATTTGGTCATCCCCCGCAATCGGGTTTGGCGAAAATTGAAGGGGCTCCAAACCCGGGACCCAACTTTTTTCGAGTACCTGGTAGGATTGCTGGGGGATTTGGAGACCCCTTCCCACCCTCGGGCAGGTTCCATCTAGCCTACCCCCGAGATCCGCATGGATCAGGTTGGGCCCCACCTGCTCCCGCCTGCTAAGAACACCCGTTCCTGCCTCCTTCAACCGCATCTGCTTCCTTTTATTCACCACGCGACCGCTGAGTTTGGCCCTCAACTCGCACCTCGCCCTCTTCTTTTCCGCCCCTCCCTTTTGAAGTTTTATACTTCGGTCCACTCCTTTCACCAACATCCCCGCACTCATCCACCACCTACCGACCTAGAAGTCGCCCTCCCTTCCTTCTTGCGCGCTATTTCGGCATTTCCACTCCTTATTACAACGCCAAACAAACATTCCTTTGCATTCTCGACGGCAGAGCTGTCACCTGAGTTTCGAGCGACCCCGGATTCGTGTGGTTGGTGCAGCATTCGTGGAATCCCACCCCAGCCGTGGTAGTCAACGAGTACCATCATCACCCTTCGCTTCTTCCCCGTCACTCCTTTCACAGGCGTCTTTCCCCCGACCGTCGTGTGCGGCAAGAGACTCGACGTCATCTGGGTTCAGACAAGCAGGTCGTCCTCCTGTCCTACCCAGCGACTGCTCTTGAGCATAAATTCCCATCACATCCTTGACGGACCCCGAGCGACAGCAGTGCTGCCTCTCCAGCTGGCTCTGAGTGCAGAGAACTTGATTCCTTGCTCGAAGAAAACAGATACATTAGGTATGTTCCATTGTTTGGCTTTATTCGGTTCCCCGATCACCCCCGACGGACAAACCCTGAAAGCTATTGTGTGTCGTGCCGAGTAACGGCCTTTGTTGTGCGCTCCGAGGGTGGCTTGTCCGTCTAAGTGGGCTCATCGACCCATGACCGACATCATGAGGTTACTTGAGGATTCATCAGCCCCAGCCGGTACTCGCACATTCGCATCAACACACCACTAAGCCTCAGAGTATCACGACTGCTTGTCTTACACTTTCAGCCCCCACAACATAAAAGCCCACCATCATTGAACGAACGTACAGGACTCACACTAATTATCGTGATAGCACAACAACCGTCACGATGAAGTCCTCAATCTTTCTCGCTACTTGCGGCGCCATGTTGGCCGTTGCCAGCCCAATTCTCCAAGGCCGCAAGCTTTACATCAAGACCGATGTCGTTACCGAATGGGTCACCGTCACGGTGACTGACGGCGATACTTCCACCACCTTCCGCCGCCCCAGCCCCAGGCCCAAGCCGACTACGACCACCACACCCGCGGAGCCTTCTACCACCGCCCCGCCCCCCCCTCCTCCTCCTCCCCCTCCGCCGCCTCCCGCTTCCACTCCCGAACCCGTCGTGGAAGCCGCTTCCCAGCCCACTTCCACGCCCGAACCTAAGCCGTCGCCCAAGCCGTCTCCCAAGCCTGCTCCAGTTGAGTCGCAGAAACCCGCTGAGCCCTCGCCTGACCCGGCTCCCGCGCCCGCTCCTTCGCCTACCAAGGATGAGACGTCAAAGCCCTCGGATTACTCCAGCACCGCCGTCTACCACCACAACATCCACCGCTTCAACCATTCCGCCAGCGCCCTCGAGTGGGACGATGAGATTGCCGGTTACGCCAAGACCCTGGCTGAGAGATGCGTTTTTGAGCACGACACGTGAGTTTCAGCATTAGTATTGTAATCTTTCGGGTCCACGTACGCTAACAGTATATCCAGCAAAATCGGCGGCGGCGGTTACGGTCAGAACCTTGCCATGTGGGGCTCTACCGAGGACCCCGAGGCTTTTGGCGCCACTGCATCCGTCGCTCGTGCGGCTAGCAACGGCTGGTACAACGGCGAAGTGAATCTCTTCCCCGCCAGCGATTATGGCAAGGACAGCCCGAACATGGCAAACTTCAAGGAGTGGGGCCACTTCTCCCAGCTTGTCTGGAGGGAGACCAAGAAGGTTGGCTGCCACAGCAAGTTTTGCCCCCCGGGTACCATGTCGTCGATGGGCTCCTGGTACACCGTCTGCAACTACTCCCCTGCCGGTATGTACCCATCGCTTTCACGCCCAGTGTCCTTTTTCTTCCACTAACACTTGTCTTTAGGCAACATGGGTGGTGCGTACGCCGATAACGTCAAGCCTCCCCAGGGCCAGTCCATTTATGCGGCCCCCTAAGCGGAAATCCCCCGCAGCCATATATCAAGACGTGCTCGTCCTGATTTACAGGGCCGCACAAACAGCGGCGGCCGTTTAGTTTTCACTTCATGTAGTGTATCTATTTGTACACATATCTTGTGCTCGACCAGATCGAGTGCCCCATGTTTTTCTCTGCATTCTTGACGCGAGCAGCGCCTCTGGATGACAATATTGAGGACGCCAGGTTACATATCAACCACATATAACGACAAGCTATCTCGCGACGACGATATGAGGTCTTGGGATTCACGACAGGTTCTTCTGGGATATTGATGAAGGACTTTTGGGGGAATGGTTGACTCGCTTTCTCTTCGTTGGTACGGTCACCCGCTTGGCTCTGACCGCAGCCGGTTTTTTTTTTTTTTGACAATCTGTTTTGTATCGAGTTACGTTGACTCCCTTCGCTTCTTTCTACCCTCTGGCAAGCATCGGGGGGCTTAACACAAATTTGGCCGCCGCCGTTCCTCATCCAAGCTTACATTGCTGTTGTTCATAGACACGCATGGCCACGGAGTTTGTGTGTGCATGTTGCTCTTACTGAGAAGGATCGGATTTCTATCTATTTCCCGTGCTTCTGTGATGTTGTGATCAATCCACGCTGCGCAAAAACATGGTTCACTAATTTTTGGTCGTGCTGGCGGGCCGCTGCAGAGGCCTGGAACCACACGCGACAGAGGACACGATTCCGCGTTGCGTGGCCCTGGGCGGGCCTGAAACAAGGCCGCCGAAGAAAGTGTGCTCCCAGCAGAGGCAAGAAAGAACAGGCGGCACGGAAAGTGGGGGCCGTCTCTTCTGAGTTCGCCATGATCTCGTCCCCATATACATCAGCTCGTGCTACACGAGATGGTGGCACGGCTGACTTGTTCGTGCCATCTGAGGATGATGCTGACGAAGGGGGCGGGAGGAGGAGGCGTGGCACGCTTAACTTGGTGACACTACCCGCTTTCAGGGGGAAAAGGGGGTCGGTCAAGGTTAGATTGGATCCATCCCTTTCACTTGAAGTGTATGCAGGTGTCATGGCGTGTTAGACTGAGCCATTTCTCTCTTTTTTTTTGGGGGGGGCGCCGGAGCAGTCGAGGTGCACAGCTGCAATTTGCCGACTTTATAAACTTGGTGCATCGCTCGCCCGATGTTTTGCTAGAGGTCCGCGAATGGATATAGGATCCTGCGAATCACTCTCAACCCCCCCCCCCTTTCCTCAAAAAGAATAATGCCCGCTCTCTCCATCTGCAACTGAGGTAAAATGCCTCTTAAAAAGTGGGAATACACTCTCTCTTGTTAGCTATTTCCAACGGCGTCTTTTCCTAAACACCATCGGCTTTCGAAAGTAGAAGTGGTGATATCTCTCTTGGTATTGAGGAGCCAGGTCTCCCTATCTCTTTATATCCTCAGCTGTACACGTATTTCAACCTTGGAGATTATCTCAGGGGTATTCTTAAGGCCAAATCTAAGATCAAAACCGTGGGTTCGTCTATCTAGACCCCTATCTATACGTCTTCTAGCTGCGCGTAGCTTCCACTCTGGCTTTTCCCGCAGGCTCTTCTTCACATCAGCGACCATTACTTACAACCTAAAGACCCAGCCTGCTGTCAGCCCACCACCGACACCTCTCCTTATTCACATCATTAACCGCCACCTCTGCACCCGTCGCAGTGATATTAATCAACGTCTGCTCATCCCCCCACTTCGGCCAAGCATCCTTCCCCTTCCCCTGACCTTTAAACACCGGCGTGCCATGGACAACAAACGTGGCAAGCGCCCTCTGCAAAGCCTTTTGCATGACGGGGCTAAAAGCAGGCGTATTCGGGTCGTTGAACGTGTACTTCAGATCCTGCGTGTGCAAGCCCGGCGACCCAAACTCATCTGCATCCAACAGTCAGCACCAAATGTACATGTAGCTCACAGCCACGGGACAGTCAGTAGGTGGGTACTCACAAGCAAAACTCCTTCCCCCGAACGCCTCATTCGCATACAAAAAATTACAGTCAAACAGCGCATCCCCCCACACCCGCATCATGCGCGAAAACAAATCCACATAGCCCTGCGAGCCATCATACACAGCCGGGTAGACGACCGCGGCGAGGTTAGCAATCTCGGCCGTCGACAGTCCCGCAAAGGAGGACCGGACCCAGCGCAAGAAGTCGGCCTCGCTGCGGGCGGTCGGGTCGAAGAAGAAGGCGCCCTCGCGCGAGTTGTGCGCGACGAGGAGGTTGATGGGGGAGTGGGCGAAGGCGCCGCCGCCCATCTTGAAGGCTTGGAGGGGTTCGATGGGGGCGGTGGTGGCGTCTTGCACGGGGATGTGGATGTAGGTGTTTGCGGGTGCGGTGCGGCATTGTTCTTGGTTGGCGAGGATGAGGGCGGATGAGGGGAGCTGGCGCGCCTCGGCGAGGGTGGTGACGTTGAGGAGGGACAGGAAGTCGTTGTAGGCTGATGGTGGGGCGGCGGCTGAGAGGAGCGTAGCGGGGGACTGGAGGATGGCTTGGGCGAAGGGGGCTTTCTTGCCTTGGTGCTGGTAGGCCAACATGTGAAGCATGATGGACCCGCCGCCGGCGGACTCGCCCATGACGGTGACCTTGTCGGGGTTGCCGCCGAAGAGGTGGACGTTGTTTTGGATCCATTCAAGGGCGAAGCGTTGGTCGAGGAGGCCGGCGTTTTCGTTGCCGTCGGCGTGGACTTCAGGCCCGGCGAGGAACCCAAGGGCGCCGAGGCGGTAATTGAGAGAGATGAAGATCATGCCTTTGCCGTTGGCTTCGTGGGCGGCGCGGAGGAGACCGTCGGGTTGGAAGCCGGGTGTAGGATGGCCGATTTTAGAGCTGAAAGTGTAGCCAGCGCCGTGGATCTAGGACAGAAGAAATGTTAGAGTTGATGGTTCTAAGGGGAGGGACGGGAAGGTGTACAAAAACCAGCACGGGCACATCGCGGCTGCCCTTCTTGTTCTTGATGGCCTTGGAGAGGACCTTGCCTGGAACATGGAGGTCCAGAAACAGGCAGTCCTCGGTGACGTTTCCGTTGAAGATGGCCTGGTCGAAGGGAGTGGACGCGTTGATGGCCTCCACCCAGCTGGTGAGGTTCCACGGCAAGCCGCCGGTAAAGCGCCCGGTTGGGATGAAGGCCCTCGACTGCCAGTCCGGCACACCCTGTGGGCAGGTCCTGACGCCATCGCCGTTCTTCGGCGCGCTGCGGTCTGTCTTGGGCGCCTTCGGGCCGCGCCATCGGAGATGGCCAACGGGTGCCTGGGCGTAGCGGATATTGGAAAACTTGTACACGTCGGTGGTCTCGTTGTACTTGAGGGCTTGGTGAAGTTCGTAGCCGAGGTCAACGATAGGGAGGCAAGCCGGTGTAGGGACCTTGTTGGGGGCAGCCAACGCTGCCTGCACTACTAGTGCGGTTATTAAACCGGTTGCTGAGGCCCAATGCATAGTGAGGAGGGTAAGAGAAATGAGTAGTCGGCTTGTAGTTCTATGGGTATTTCTCGGGCAAAGAGACACTCAGAGGAAATCTCGGTGTCTGTAGCGTAGTGGTGGTGATGTGGTGATGGTGATATCGAAATTGGTTGAGGAATTGGCGACTTGACTGCACTTTATATAGCACGCCTTCAGTGTTCTCGTGCTCTAAGAGACTTTTTGAAGTTCTCCCTTCCTAACATCCATCATGGCGCAAGAACTTCGCATGGAAGGATCCGATGTTGACATTCTGGCTTATGAACAGGGACATTTCGTTGGGACCTCCGCCCAAGGTCCAGCTGTCTTCCCGAAGAGGGCCGGTATATCCTCCGGAAGGGAACATATCCGGACCGCACAGGGGCATGTTGCAGCAAGAAGCCCTACTGGGCGTGGTCAGCGTGGAAGGATTGCATGGCGTCAGGCCGGATCGGGTAGTGTGTGCTGCAGATGCCAAGAGCCATAGCCCTGCCACGATCTGGTTTGCCGTATTACGGGGATGTTCACGACTTCATTCGATCCGAGCCCAGGTTTTGGGTGATAATCGGTAGTCGCATCAGCCCCGAAACCCACAAACGCACAGTCACACACTGCCGCATCAAGCCCATCCACCAAAAGTCCCGTATGTGGAATCTCGAAATCCCAGAATCCCGGAATCCTGTAGCATTGGGCACTCAAACGGCAAGGTGTGTTGAGTCTTGACGTTGCTCTCGGCGTTTGACCATTGATCTGCCGGGGGGAGCAAAGCTAAGCCCGGCTGGAAAGTAACTGGAGATTATTACCATGCCGGAACTTTTGTTCATAAACAAGAGCCCGTCATCCAACATCCTGACGCGTAGCAAGGCGGGCGAGAGATCCCGTATCCTCTCGCACGTGCAAAACCGCCGGCGGAGAGATGAAGCCCGCAAGAAGCTGGGGGCACGGATGGCTCGGCCTAGTCAGCCAACGCCTTTGTCCTTTGCTATAGCCTCCTCCAAGTTTTGGCTCCCCAGCCGAACCCAACAACCCAGCAGCGACGATGATGACATGGCAAAGTCTGAGTCCGGGCGGAATGGCAGAGGGCCCGGGGTCAGCGACCGAAACACGACGTCCCTCGTGTTATTCTACCCAACCGACAACAGTAGCGACCCTTTCTACAGCACCGTAGCTGGCCGTGACGCCGGATCGCACGCTATGCTCCAGCTATCCTTTGGCGAAGGCGTCAAGGTGACCTTCCTCGCCGAAGCCTTCGCACCAACCAACATGTTTCCCCCTTCAACCTCCATGCGACACGACGTTGTCATCCAACACCGCCTCCAACGCTGCATTGAAGATGATCTCCTCATGTACGCCACCCTAGCATACGGCTCGAGCTGCGCGGCATGGATGTTTGGCATCCTCGACGACGAACGACCCCCTGAATACTTTATCGACAAAGCCGTCCGCCAAGCCCAAGTCCGGCTGGCGAGCCTCCAGGGCGATACAAAAGCCGGTCGTATGATCGATAAGCAGTGGTTCGCGCTGTCCATCTACGCGCTCGCCATCACCGAGATCTGGAACCACATGCCTGAGCTGTGGGCGAGGTGTCCACAGCGGCAGGCCCTGGCCATGAGAATTAGCAACCCCAGCCAGAATACATCACGCACCCACCTCCGTGCGCTGGTGCATTTCGTTCAAGAAGCAGGCGGGTGGGGTGTGTTTGACCCATACGTCCTCGAAAGCTCGTTGCTAGCCGACAAATACCTTGCCCTGTGGGAGATGGCGCCGCCCATCATCCCCCTGACATTTGATCCGGGTCCGCCTCCCGAGACAGTAGGGAAAGCCCTCACGCGGCTGCATGCGGATAATGATGGTGCGCTGAACCGTCTGGGACAGAGCTTTCTCAACCATCCATATCTTGACGCCGACCTCCGCGTTATTCTCGCCGATGTTGCCGACTACGTGCGCATCGCCCGGGGTGCGTGGGCCGAGCCTTCCGTGATATCATCGTTGCAGTCGTGGTTGTTTCTGCGGTTACAGGCGTTGTTCTACCGGCTGTTGCTGCTTGATAACCTGCCTCCCGTTGACGAGGTCGTGCGGCTGACGGCTTTGACGTTCCTGCTTGCCACGACACAGTATCATGGTGCTCGCCTGTCGGCAGAGTCACAGCCGTGGCGGATACGGGCGGCCATGTTGAGTGCTAGATATTGGGATAATGACGAGTTTACGGATGGGCTACGGTTTTGGTGTCTTGTCACTGCTGCCATGTCGGCTAGGGAACCAAATAAGGAATGGTTTCTCAGCCGGATTGTTGAGTTGGTGGATGAAGATAATGGGTTGCGCTTCAATGACGGGGTTAGCTTAGGTCCAGACAAGGCGGAAAGTTTGGATGGGTACTTGTTTCTCCGGGATGTTCAGGGCAAACATCTGTCTGCTCTGATCAACCATCTTTCACCTGATCTAGCAGCAAGTTGCATAGCGAAATTCCTCTAACTAAGAAAGAGGAAAGACGCTGTAGGCTTTTTCAAGGTTAATTTAATCTAGTCATTACATATTACCTATCTAGTTTATACGTATAGGAAGAAACAGTCGCCAAAGAAAATCCTTGCTTTCCAGGCTCAGGATTCAAGGCTCTGTGTATGCTTCTCAGACTTCCGACCTACATCCCCGTGCCCTGGGACTCCGGATCTGCCCGTCGACCATGGCTAACTTCTTCACATCCGTTTTCCGGCTCCTCCCCGCTTCTGCTCAGTCTTGAGTTGAAGGTTCAACGATACTTAGAGACAGCCAGGGGTTGGTTTAATGTGCACAAGCGTCTTGTGGGTTGTGGTTAGGAAGGCTACATGTATGGTTAGAAAGCGAGTGTGGTATTCCAGGTCACAGGCTAGAAAGGTGACTGAAAAATGAGGGAAGGCAGAGGGGAAAGAGCTACAATCAGCAACTTTGTCTAGGCCAAGGGGCGAAATCAAAATATCATTCGCCTAAGATTTGGAAAAGGCCAAAAAAAAAAGATTGAGAGTCCCCTCGACCGGAATCGAGCCGGTGACCTTTCGGTATCGATAATTTCCATTACAGCCGAACGTGATAGCCAACTACACCACAAGGGGATTTGATTCGTTGAAAATCAAATTTGGTAACATCACTTGAGTAGCCCTAGGCAATGCCAACAGGAGTGACCGTGCCCGCTGCGCGCGGGCACGCCAAAGGAGCCTGGAGGAACTTGCCGGCTGCAGGTAGGCCCCAAAGCGGAGTCAACGATGTAAATGTCTTTTTTTTTTTTTCCATTTCATGATGGTTATTGACGAATGTTGGGAAAGTAAGGAAAGGTGGCTTCTCTAGTCAGACTAGTCAGACTAGCGTCTAATCGTACAGTCGCGCCCTCTTTTTTCCCGCTGTAGACCTCTTGCTTCTGATTGGCTCGGGAGAGGGTTATCGCCCGTTTGGCGGGATCCCAATGGTCCTGTTCTTCGGGGACTTCTTCCAGTTCGACCCCGTCCTGCAGACCAGCCTCCTCTTGCCGGCGCCCAGGGACCGTGGCGGACAGAGACCGGAAAGCTTGGCGAAGCATCTCGCAGCGCACAGGCTGTTCCTCCAGTTCACAACCGTTGTCATCCTCCAGGAGCAGGTCCGCGCGGATGGTTGCCCAAGGCTTCGGGGCTTCCTCGGGCGCGTGCGCAACGGCGAGCAGACCGAGCTGGACTTCCAGCGGCTCAGTGAACGCCTTTATACACCGTAGTGCAAGGCGTCCTTCGTAGACGGTCTGAGAGCCATCACGCCCCTGAACCAATACCGGTGGGACCTGAACAGGGCAGCCGTCGTCCAGTGGGCCCGTGCCTACGGCAAACACATCTCCATCTTTGTAGCCAAGCATGACACCGAATCGGCGAAGCGGCTGCGCGTCGAAGAGCTGGGCGACGTGCTCCGCCACGGAGACAACTCGCAGCTGCCAACCCCCGGCCTGTTCTTCTACGCGCAGGGGATGCCGGTCGTGGTGACTCGGAACCAGTTTGTCGGGCTGAAGGCAGTCAACGGGGCGCCTTTCAAGGCCGTCGACATCTTTCCCGACCTCGCCGCCGGCACCATCGCGCTCGCCAGCGATGTGACTCTTCATCTTGGACCGCCGGTGGCCGTCCTCCTTCAGTCGGACGATAGCGCGGGCCTCGCCATCCCCGGGCTCCCCAACAGCACCGTCTTGATCAAGAGCAAGACGGTCGCCATCCCGAGCCAAAATGCGGGGCAAGGAAAACCAGATGGAGGGGCAAGCCGGGTTTTCGGCGGGTTACCCATAGAACAGGACCTCTTTGCACCCCGGCCTTCGCTATGACAGATCAGAAGAGCCAGGGCAAGCAGTTCTCCAACGTACTCGTCAACCTCAAAGGCGTCCACTCGAGTGGCACGGCGACGCGGCCCAGCTTCATGAGCCTGTACGTGCAGCTGTCGAGGGCGCAGAGCTGGGACGGGCTGCATCTGTTTCGGAAGCCGGCGCGCAGTGACTTCATCGAGCCCAAGAACGTGCTTGATAAAGACATGAGGGACGCCATCCTCAAGCTAGAACGACAGGGTGAGGAGACCAGACGGCGGTTCGAGCAAGACCACAGGCACGAGCCGTGGTTTCAAGAATGGGCTGCCATGCCTGAATCTGGCCAGGGTACTGAAACCGATGACGTAGAGGACGCGGCGCTCTGGCGAGACCCTGGGGTTTCCGAGCTCAGATCGTAGCACAGCTCTCCACCGTTGCTCTGTTTTGGGGCTCTTTTCCAGCGGAATAAGCTGCTTCAATTAATATTTTCCTTCTCAACTTGTTGCCGTGTTGCCCTGCAATCTGCATCTTTTCGTGGTCGTCGCTGAAGCCCTTGTAAACCGGGGGCGGCCCCACAGCTGATAGGCCGTTGAGGCCCCAACAGACAGTCCGTGCACCACCACTGCCAAGCCCAACTTCGAGACGCTCATCGTCAGAGACAAGTTCCTCCAGGCAAAGCAACATGGCTGCTTCCACAATCGTTAGGATAATGACAGTAAATCTTCAGTTTACAGGGAGAAATGGCAGGGCTTTTTTTGATGGGGTGTTTTATGGGGCGGAAGTGGTCCGTGCTTGGAGCATACCATGGTATTTCTCGGAAAAGGAACCTTTCGGAAGTACTCGTTCCTCGTACGTTCCTCCAGGCATACCTGCGTCACGCGTTCCGTTCAGAACGATGGCAGTGCGTCGCCCCGGCAGAAGGCCGTGTAGGATGAGGGTTACTGCGACACCAAGAAATCATCGAGTCATGAACTTTTAATGAATGTGATAAGAATCAATCGACCTTTGGTTCTCAAGGTAGTATGCATGCGACATGGCCCAGAAAGGAGCTTCATTTTGTCCAACCCTGGTCCAAACTTTTCCACTTCCCGTTCATTCTTCCCCGGAAAGAGAACGGGAGGCCTGGAGCTGAGGGTCATACCTACCCATGGGTTAATTTTTCCTGAGACATCCTGCATTATCAATAGTTAAGGAGAACCGCGCGGCACGAGCAGGGTGCTAATTTATTGCCTTATTTGCCCGGCCAGGTCGGATTTATGACAGAAAAGGGAAATAAAGTTCCTGCTTAATGTCCATGTTTCGTTAGGGGATCTATGAGATGAGATGCGGCTCATGCATGCGCCTCACTGGAAATATTGGAGGCCGACACGTGCGGTGAGAGACCCCCACGGACAAATACCGTTATCAGCTTCAACCACCAACATTCGTTCCGAGCCTCAATCTCGGCCGGGGCCGATTGCTCGTGGCCGCGTGGGGCTTGCGCGGTTGATGATCGGGATCAGCACAACCCGAGCCAGGGCTTCGGGTGTTTGCAGCCCTATCGTGATGAGTAATGTTACATACGAATACACAGCATGTAATTCGTACGTCTCATGAATCCCGTTGAACAAACATCCGGGCCTTCGTGTGGGTCGCCGGTACGGATAGTGGTAGTTATTCGTTTGTTCAAACGAGTCACTGCTGGAAGACGGTCTCTCCTGGATAACTCGCAGGGCCTTCCTGGTTGTCCGATCACATTTCATCGGCGCAAACCGAAAATGGCCCACAATGCTTGCGGCTGAAGTTTTGTCACGTCTTGAGACCGGGATTCCATTTCTTATCCCCCCAGCGTCATTGACGGCGTCGGCGCCAAAAACGGAAAGCACTATCGACGTGGTCGAGACATGGCATGGTGGAGATGACCAGAGCGCCCACGACGAGAGAGCGATTGGCTCAAACGAGCACGGGCGTCAATGGACGTGAAATATTTCAGGGCTAGCCCAATGAGGGCAGTTTTGGTCGCAGTGACTGCAGGTACGCGCTCCAGCCACCTAACGCCGCCAAGGCCGTAATTGGAAAACTCTTGCTGCTTTTCGCTCAGGTCTTGTTGGGCTGCAAGAAACGCACAGGGAGAAGAAATGGGGAGCTGAAAAATACACAGGACCTCTCCACTGCACACAGACGCTTCTGAGGCCACCCCCCGCTCGGTCTGTTTGCCAACAACCCAGGCTCGTCGGATTCGGGAAGAACGGCAGCTGAGACCCAGCCTAGCCAGCGTACCGCTACGTATCGCTCCACCCACTCAACTGGGCACTTGCAGCCAGCCAACCGAGAACCCATGCGCTTCATGCATCGCTTTCACAGCATCGCCAAGCCTGGCCCCCCGGCATGGCGGCGGCGACAAGATTCTGGAGCTCGCCCGTTCCGAGAGAAGCCCAGCTTCCAGGTTGGGGGTCCTCCACCTCAGCTGTCACCCTGTGGCGTGTGGGCCAGTCTTTCCGTCGTCCAGGGTGCTGTTGCGCCGACCGCTTCCCACTCACCACCAAAACCAGAATTTGATGGTGTTCTGTTCCCTGGTCGGCCTGGAACCGTCTCTCGTTTTGACCAGCGTGGTTGTTGACCTGCTGAGATCACCATCGCCGAGTTCCCCGCCATTCGTTTAGTGGACCAGCATCGCCAGACATTCTTCGGCCTACCATCTGGGTACACACATAGACGACGACATTCGCTTGCTTGGGAACCCACGGCGGCTCACTCCTCGGCGCGTCACCGCCAGGTTTGAGAAAGCAGCACAGCTGATCAGATCAAGCATCCGATTTTGATCACGGCGGTCCAGGTCTGTCTTTTTCGATGGATAACGGCGACTATTTCGGCCGTCCGGCCGCCAATATGCCCTCCATGGCCTCCACTGCCGCCCCGACCCCGCAACGGCCAGGGACACCGAGCGAATCCCTCGGGCGCAACCCTTTCGGCGACGGCGTCGAGTCGCAGGCATCGCAACGATCGGGGAACAACGGCAATCCCTTCGTCAGCCCCTCCGTATCGCGCCCCGCCAGCAGCTTCGACTCTGCTTCGGCGCTGGGCCGCTTTGACGGCGGGCAGCGCTACTTCCACTCGCGCCGCGTCCGCAAGGGCGAGGTTGAGAAGCCGTGGACGAAGCAGGTCGACCCCAAGGAGAAGTGGGTCACCATCCTGCCCATCATAGGCATCATTATCGGCTTGGGCATTTCGGGTTTCTTGGTGTGGGACGGCATCCGTAGCGTTGTCAAGCACAATTACTGCCTGGTGCTGGAGGAGGACTGGTCGAATGGGTTTAATGAGAAGGTGTGGAAGAAGGAGGTACAGGTGAACGGGTTTGGGTGAGTCCTTTCGGTCTTTTTACAACTCATCGACCGTGTGACTGACAACATCTAGCAACGGCGAGTTTGAGCAGACCACGCCGGGCAATGAGAACGTCTTCATCGAGAACGGTAACCTCGTCATCAAGGCGACACCCCGCGATGACGCCTTGATGCAAAAGGACACCAAGATCGATCTTCTCAAGGACGGTACTTGCACGTCCACCTCGCCCACTTCTTGCATTGCCTACACCAACATCACTGCGGGCAACTCCTCCATCGTGCCCCCCGTCCTGTCCGGGCGCATCAACACCAGCCCCGGCGCCACCATCAAGTACGGTCGCGTCGAGGTCACGGCTAAGCTGCCTGCCGGTGACTGGCTCTGGCCCGCCATCTGGATGATGCCGCTCGAGAACAAGTACGGGCCGTGGCCGGCATCGGGCGAGATTGACATCGTCGAGTCGCGCGGCAACAACTACACGCACCCGCAGGGGGGCAACAACATCATCTCGTCGGCGCTGCACTGGGGGCCCACGCCGGGCAACGACGCCTGGTGGCGCACCAACGTCAAGCGGCAGGCGCTGCACACGACGTACGCGTCGGGCTTCAACACCTTCGGCATCGAGTGGTCGCAAAAGTATCTCTTCACCTACGTCAACTCGCGCCTGCTGCAGGTGCTCTACGTCAACTTTGACGAGCCCATGTGGGGGCGCGGCAACTTCCCCGTCCAGGACAGCAACGGCACCCGCGTCGAGGACATATGGGGCCACACCGGGCGCGCCCAGACGCCCTTCGACCAGCCCTTCTTTCTGATCCTGAACCTGGCCGTGGGTGGCACCAACGGCTGGTTTGAGGACAACGTCAACGGCAAGCCGTGGTTGGATGCCTCGCCCAATGCTCGCAAGGACTTTTGGCAGGCCAAGGACCGCTGGCTGCCGACGTGGACGCAGCCACAGTTGGAGGTCAGCAAGGTCATGATGTGGCAGCAGTGTGATGGTAATGAGGATCTTTAGGGTACTGTTTTTTTCTGGGAGGATGTAAGAGTTCTATTTGTGATGGTGTTGGGGTATAAATTGGTTGTTTATTTTGGGTATCTAATGTTTATATCTCTTGTCTGTTGTGCAATGATGGATGGATTTCATGGTGTTGTCTAAGTCCACGATGACCATGAACTGAATCTACACTGTGGAGAATTGAGGGCACAGACACAAAACGAATTCATATCCGTGACAAAGCTTGGGCATTCTCGATGCGCCTCCTGAAACGCACTACGGGACCCCTTTGCGGTCCTTTTTGGCGGAGGGCTCGAGCGGCGCTATCCTGCCATCCTTTCCTGCCGAAGAGGGGTGCCTGGTGGGCTCCTGAGATATGCTCTTGGCACAGTTTCCACAAGTCTGCCTGCCTCCCCACAGCAAGCATCCTGCCGGGCGGCGGGAATCCGCAACCAGAAAGGGAATGCGATGCGAGTTGCTGTTTTGTTCTCGGAACATTCTCTTGCAGCTTTTGGCTCTCGCTGCCGGATCACAGCAATCCACACAAACCTTGACAGCGACAACCCGGCGAGATCCAGGCACAAAATCGGCAATCCGTGACAAAGTGACAGGCAACCCCCGCCGATCAGAGGCCGGGGCTAGACCAGGGTCCAGAATTCGAAGATCACCAACATGGGAGGTGCACACCCCCACTTTGCTCTGCTCCGCTCCGCTCCGCTTCAGCCTTCCAATTTTCTAATATTGTTTTTTTTTTTTTTTTGGACATCTCATATTTCATCTCATTGATTGTGGATATGGACATGGGAAGTGTAGAACTATTGCGAGCTGAAGCTGCAGGTAGTCGTGATATTGAGCCTTTTCCGACACGCAACCCTGCATGGCTGGCTTCCATTGCTTCCGCTGGCTCGGCGTGATGCATGGACACTGAAAATCCCAGCTGGTCGGTAACGTTAACTTTTCAGTCACCGCCAGCCAGCGAGTGAGGTAAAAAACCGACAGCGAGAGAAAAAGCCTTTTCGTGTTCGAACTCGCGGGCGCAAACGCCCAGCGCCAATTGGATTGGCCACGGGCAGTTAGCACGACATCCGGACTGTTTGAACCGCCCGCCTGGTCCGTTCGACCGTTCCAGCTGTGAGGTGGTTTGGTTTGGCAAGACGGTGAGACAGCAGCAGCGAGACGCCGGACGCTCGACACGAGAAACGAGCCTCCACACCCCGCTTGTCTCAGCAACGCCCGCTCGCAAAACGCAAAGTCATGATGCAATCACTGCAGTCGTTCAGGTGGTTCTGGACGAGAAAACCCGTTTGACTGGTCGTCGGGGCTGCCAGCGCAGCATCGCCAGTTAAACGAAGACGCATGCGAGCTCTCTTGACAACCCACTTCTTCGGGAAGGTCCCACCCTTGCTTTTTCTCTCTTCTTTTTCCGCCCCCCTCCTCCCTCCCCACTCTGGCCGTTCACCGTTCGCAGCCGATCCTGTCCGGATCGGTGTGGTTGCGTGCAGATGCGATCTGATTGACCGGGAGGGGGGGCCTGCCTATTTTTGGACGCCGCCGCGACGTGTGGGCTGCCAATGCCAATTCTCGTATTCTTTTGGCCTCCCCTTCTCCAAAGTCTGTGGTGAATGGCTGGTATCTACCCAATCCCGGACGGATGGTTTTTTGAATGGGTTGATGCAGGGCTGAAGTGCAGAATTATCAGAGAGGGGCTAAAAAAGTGAACAACCCATTTTTTTGCGTTGGGTTAGGTTCCGTCTTATCGTCAATTCGATAATACGTGTAATTACAAAATAACATCCATACCCAAATCAGCGAGAAGGGCTGAGCGCCGAAGTCTCGACGCCAGGGTTGCAGCGCGCTATTGTCTTGTCCTTCAGGGGGTTGCATGTGGCTCCGCCGGTCCCAGGCGTTGCTTTGGCTTTGATCGCGACGGAGCATCAGAAGGCAACGATGGTGGATTGGGGGCGAGCGTCTTGCCGCTTTAAGAAACTTTTATCGCTCAGCTGAAATTCACTGCAGGTGGATTCGATGTATTTGACCGGCCGGAAAAGAATCCTCCAATTATGCTTGGCCGCATCCAACATCCCACCCAACCGGAGAATATCAGGTTCGTGTGTGCGTCTCGATCTTGAGCCCTACGGGATCAGCCTTGCTTTGTGTCGATACTAGCATTGGGCAGGGTGATGTGTAAATGGGCAAGCACTCTGAGCTCTTGCGTTGCACGGACTCCCGTCATTATGATGGTGCCAAAGTCCTACATCGTAACTCTGCATTGAAGCTAGAAAGAACCCCCAGGTCGAGGATGAGTGGAGGTTACTGCTTTGTTCAGCCTCGCTCTTTCCCTTGACTGCGACCGGACCTCATTCCCAGGCGGGGGCCATTGCAATTCTTGACCACTGAGGGTGCGAACTGCGAGAGAGAATCCGGGGGATTCTTTCGGGCATCGTTCTGCGGGAATGCAAAGGGCTTGCATCAAAGGCCCTACCATCCACGTTTTCTTAGCCGGTGGCGAGCCGTTGCACTTTTACGAAAGAAGCCCTCGTCCGTTAGGCTGGCCGTTGAGCAATTGACAACTGAGACCCAGCGTGATCCAGCCCAACCACAGAGCTCAGCTTCATCACAACCAACCGCCACGCAAACGCCCAAAACCCGAAGCAACTAGCCGATATTTGTTTTCCTTGCCGCCAAGATGCCCCGAAGGCGCTTGCAAGAGCCGCCCGAGTGCCAGCCGCAGGAGAGGCGTGCGGATCGGAGATGAGGTTCGTGACCGTGATGGTTCTGTTTAGTTGGAAGCAAGCATCGTGGGCGGGTTCGGTGTGATGAGGCGTCTTTTTTGTTGCGATTCCATCCTGGAGCATTCTCATTGCCGGCGCGGTGCTGGACAAACCGGGAAACCGGCTTCCCTGCTATCACTTACACGGGCCCTCACCCCCCTGATCCCTGCGACACATCCACCAACTCGATAGCCAGGGGCCCTGACGCCAAGCCACATGGGTTCTCTGCCCGCCAGTCCCTCCGCCGGACCAGGGGCCATCGTGACCAATCGCCAGCACACACAGCCAGCACCATGCAACCCAGCGTTGCTTTGCTTGTTCGCCTATCCACCCTTTTGACCCTCCCCTCCCCTGTCGCCGTCTCTCCCGCCTCGCTCCCTCCAAGCTTCCGGCGATCAACACTCGTTTCTGTCTTCCACTCGCTCGGGATCACCCACCAACATCTTCCCTGGAGCTTGTCTGCCCGCGCCGCACCACGGCAGAAGGCAGCAGAGCTTCAAGTTAGAGTTCGAGTTCGAGGTCGAGGGTTATCCTTCGAGCAACCTGCCTGTGACTCTCTTCCGCCGTCACCAGCCTTAGAACTCAAACCGCTCCGGTGCCGATCCCGAGCGTCGAATCCCGTTAATCCCGTTCGCTACTTGGCTTGCAGGGTCGTCTCCTGAAGCTGTCCATTCGCTATTTTGCAGGTGGCTCACGGGGTTCTTACTTTCGCTGAATCCCGCTACAGAAGACAGTTTCTCACTTGGAGCGGTGTTTAGACGATACTCAACCGGCAGTTGGCTCGGGGAGTCGACCATTGTGCCGCTTTCATCGACAAGGATCTAATCGAAACGGGGACCCAGCCCGAGACTTTGGGATACCGCCATCATGGGGATCGGGAGTTATTTCAAGGCTGAGAAGCCCCAGGCGAAGCCAGCAGCGGCCGTGCCGGCCTCACCAAAACGAAACAATGCGAGACATCAGCAGCAACCCTCCGGGTCGGAGAACCCAGCACTATCGCTCCGGCCAGATTCCGAGCTTCATCCCCCAACACCCAGGTACAGCTCTCGGCCCCAGTCCATCTCCGGGCGGTCGGTGAGGTCGACAGGAAGCTCCGTCCTTGACGACATCAAGCATGAGGTTATGGTGAACTATCTCTATCAGCAGCAATGTTCGCACCTGTGGGTGTCGGATGGCAGCGGTGAGATCGAGGGTGTTCTTCTGCGGAAAACCAGAGGACAGTACATGGCCTGCCCGCCGCAGCTCGGCAACTCACCCTTTGCGCTAGCTTGCGCCGCACTCAATGTCCAGGTATGTCCAAGTCCCCCCAGAGACAAAAGTGAAAGACACTAACAGCGTTCAGTGCGCCATGACAGTCAACTCAAGAGTTATCAAAACCTTCCTGCAATGGTCGCCAGACGCCGTCGACGTGCCCTTGATGAACGGCCTTCGCGTGCAGATTCTCCCCACCATCGACGACCTCCCGCGCGCACGCAAACACCAATTTGCCGCCTTTGTCGCTTCCGAGGGTCTTTTGGTCGTGTGGGACGACGATGCGCTGCATCTCGTGCAAAGAGCCAAGGCCATCGAGTCGGAGCTGATGGAGCTGGTGTGGAAGGCTGGCGGCGAGGACGACGAGGATGAGAAGGGAGGGCCGATCGTCACAGAACCCGAGGTTGACGAAGAGAGCGGCGAGTTGAAGCCAGAAAAGAGGCCGGTCCACATGCTGAACACTTACCTCGTCAGCTTGACCCTCATTCTCGTCACCGTCTCCCTTGGCGCCGCTTTCCGACAGCTAGCTATCGAGGTTTCAGTCGACGGCAGCTATCTGCGCCTCGCCCTCGTGGCCTTGTTTCCGGTTCAGATCTTCTTCACCCTCTTCTTCGCCCAGGTCATCTTCGGTTGCTTGGCCCAGATCTTTGGTCCAATTCGCCAGCTCACCATCAACTCCAAGTTCTACTCTGCTCGCCCCCCACCGAGATTACGCACTTCCGTTCTGCCGCACGTTACCGTTCAATGTCCTGTGTATAAGGAAGGTCTCGGTGGTGTCATTGCTCCCACCGTCAAGTCTATCAAGCAGGCCATGTCCACGTACGAGCTGCAAGGAGGGTCGGCCAACATGTTTATTAATGATGATGGTCTGCAACTCATTTCGGAAGAGGACCGCAGGGCCCGTATCGAGTTTTATGCCGACCACAGCATCGGCTGGGTTGCCCGTCCGAAGCACGGCGAAAACGGCTTCTTGCGCCGCGGCAAGTTCAAGAAGGCTTCCAACATGAACTTTGCCCTCATGATTTCCTGCAAGGTCGAGGAAAAACTGGCCGCCATCCAGCGCACTCCCGACTGGTCGCAGCACGATGAGGCGCAGGCGTACGAGCAGGCCCTGAAGGAGGTTCTCGAGGAGGATGGCCGTGCCTGGGCCGATGGCAACATCCGCGTTGGTGACTACATTTTGCTTATCGACTCCGACACCCGTGTTCCCGCCGACTGCCTTCTGGATGCTGTCTCCGAGATGGAACTCTCTCCCGATGTCGGCATCATGCAGTTCTCGTCAGGTGTCATGCAGGTTGTCCACACCTACTTCGAAAACGGTATCACCTTCTTCACCAACCTCATCTACAGCGCCATCCGATACACCGTCTCCAACGGCGACGTCGCCCCCTTCGTCGGTCACAACGCCATCCTTCGCTGGTCTGCTATTCAAGAGGTCTCTTACGAGGACGAGGACGGCTACGAGAAGTTCTGGTCGGAAAGCCACGTGTCGGAGGACTTCGACATGTCCCTACGTCTACAATGCAGCGGCTACATCATCCGCCTGGCCGCCTGGGCCGGCGACGGGTTCAAGGAGGGCGTCTCTCTCACTGTGTACGACGAGCTGGCCCGTTGGGAGAAGTACGCCTACGGCTGCAACGAGTTGCTCTTCCACCCGATGCGCAAGTGGATCTACAGGGGTCCCTTCACCCCCCTCTTCCGCCGCTTCCTCTTCTCCAACATCCGCTTCACGTCCAAGATCACGGTTGTGTCTTACATCGGGACTTACTACGCGATTGGTGCGGCTTGGATTATGACCAGCGTCAACTACTTCATCATGGGCTGGTTCAACGGCTACCTTGACAAGTACTACGTCGACTCGTGGCAGGTGTGGTTCTCCATCATCATTGTGTTCAACGGGCTCGGCAACATCGCCCTGGCCGTCATGCGCTACCGAGTCGGCGAACGCAACCTACTGTATGCCCTGTACGAGAACTTCAAGTGGACCTTTCTGCTGGCCATCTTCCTTGGTGGTCTGTCACTGCACGTCTCGCAGGCGCTACTGGCGCACATGTTCGAGATTGACATGACATGGGGCGCCACCTCCAAGGAAGCCGAGTTTTCGAACTTCTTCATCGAAGTGCCTAAGGTGTTGAAGAAAGTGTGTAATCGAGTCCCTTTCATGCTCAAGAGTGTTCGATCCGATGCTAACCGTTGACGTTAGTTTAAATTCTCCATGATCTTCGCCTCGCTCTTTATCGCCGGCATGGTCATCCTTGCTGTCGCCCCCTTCATCCCCTACAGTTGGCACATCACCGACTTTGTCGCCATCCTACCCATGGCCACCGTGGCCGGCTCGCATCTACTCCTGCCCTTGGCCCTCAACCCGGCGCTGATGACCTTCTCGTGGTAGAGGGCCTCCATTCTTTTATTTAATTAGATGTGTGCACATGGCGAGGTTTTGCGTGGTTGGGGGGGTTGGTTTCACGCGTTGTTTAGACTGGTGTTTTGCTGGGCCCTCCGCGGGACAACGTCTCATGTCATGACCTTTTCTTATTACCACTTTGTGTATATTGATGCTTGGATACATAGATCGGAGGACGGGGCTGGAGTTAATTAACGTAGGATATGGGTAATCATGTATTTTCAATACTACTAGACCCTGTTGGAGTTGGTTCTGGGAGAGGTTCGTTACAACTCGTGCCAATCGGGTGTATGCCATACCTTTCTGAACTATCTCCTACTTCAGCTCATTCAACGTCCCGACATCGAATCTCGATATAACGGCACCGACACGTGATGTCGGGAGTTCCGTCCCATTCAACGACGGAGCAACCACCGAGCCACTTAGAACATGCCATGTCACCGCCGCCTCCCTCTCTTTGCCCCACACATTAGAGGGACAGAAAAGAATGTCGAACTTGGAAACCAAAAAGTTACTGCGTACATATCGACCATATCCCTTGGGTTCATCCGAGCATAGCCCGACGGGACGACTTCGATGGGCCACCTCACCTCCCTTCTAAAAGCCTTCAGGAACCGGGTTTCCGGTCGTCCTGGGGGTGAATACGTTAACTCTCCCTTATCGGTCAAAAACCAGGTTTCCGATAGCTCTGAGGGTGAATGCGTCCACTCTCCTCAGTCAGCCGAGAACCAGGTTTCCAACGAACCTGGGGGTGAATACGTCTACTCTCCTCTGCCAGGGCCTATCTATATTCGCTTGCTGCGTCTAATGCCACAGCAAGACAAGGATGCCCCTTTGCAATGCCAGCTCTTCGAGTATCCCTTGCGGGGGGCTCGTCAAAGAGTACACATGTACGAAGCCTTGTCGTATGTTTGGGGCTCTGAGGAAGACCAAAAGTTCATCTACATCCGGACCGACGACAAAAGCGACAGGTCTTCTCCCTCTCCTGTCGCTGGAAACAGCCGTCGTTTGCTTGTGACGGCTAATCTTCATGATGCCCTTTCACATCTTCGAGATGGGCTCCTCGAACGGATCCTGTGGATAGATGCCATTTGCATCAACCAGAGAGACAAGGTTGAAAAGGGAGTGCAGGTACAGTCCATGGCCGAAATATACGCGAATGCCAACCGCGTCATCGTCTGGCTCGGAGAGGCCACAAGTGATAGCGGCCGAGCTTTTGAAACACTTCGCAACGCCGCTAGATACCAGCACACACACCACGACATCGATGAGCCGACCCGGCAAGCAATCTTCACTCTACTCGAACGGCCATGGTTCCAACGCATTTGGGTACGGTAGTTGCAATTCAACGACAAATGGATTACGAGTTTGCTGACGAGCCGCTTTCATCCAGGTTGTTCAAGAGGCTGCGGCAGCCCGGCATATCCTGATGAAGTGTGGTCCTGATGAAGCGGATGGGTTTGCGTGGTGTTCGGGCCTCTCGGCGTTGAACGTGTACACCACCCGTCCAGATTTGCGGGGTTTGATTCCTCCGATAACTTACCTCATACGGGATGCAATATTTCGGCCTCGGCATGGGGCGAGTCAGTCCGAAACAAGCCAGCTAGGCAGATTCTCCCTCAACATTCACCCTTTGGGCGAGCTGGTAGATATGTACCACAAACGCAAAGCGACGAACCGTCTCGACAAGGTCTATGCCTTGCTCGGTATGAGCTCTGATGACCCCAGGACGGGGGGTTTATTGGCCGACTACAACCTTGCGTGGGGAGAACTCTTCCGGAAACTCATCCAATTTCTCCTTTCTGATCAAGTGTTTGTGGATGTATGGGATGACTGCGCTGTCGCGGCGATCCAAGGCAAAGGCCACATTTGTGGAAAAGTGTCTGCGGTTGGTGGTGACGATACCCGAGGTGACGAACAACGCATAACTATCGCTTGGAAGAAAGTGTGCGGCGAATCCGGCAGAACGGGGGCGCGGGTCTCTCAACACACCTTCCCGGCCTCTGCACAAACCAATCCGCCCCGGCGATGCTGTTTGTCTTCTACAAGGAGCATCGGCGCCCACCATCATAAGGTTGCACAAGGCGTATACGACAATCATCAGAAATACAATTCCCCCGGAAGAGACAATTCGAGAGCGCGTGGCAGCTCTACGATCTGGCCCAACAGTCCCAACGGATTTCGTCATAATCTGGGACTGGGACGCACCCCAACACAATTCACAAGATGAAAACTATGAGTCCTTCATCAGCAGCCGATGCCCTGCCCCGCGACCTTGGACAGAGTCGCAAGACTACCTCGTCAAAGCCACGAGATCATGGAATTTCGGAATATTGCTGAACGGACTTGAAAGATACGAAGACGCGTGGATATATTTCCAAAAGGCTGTCGAGGAGCATGTCACGGCATTGAGGGGCATGCGCACACCGGCCCAGGACGTTTGGATGACGGACGAAGAGGAGCTGATGGCGATGAATCGTTTAGTCATTTGGGGGGCTAAGAACTTTCACAATCATTCGCCACTATCTCTGGCTGCTGCTAAGGGACATGAGAGGCTTGTCAAATTCCTGCTTGATAAAGGCGCCACTGTTGACGGCACCGATTTGGATGTGCAGCGTGGCGACCATACGGACGCAATGGTGGCAGCCTGTTCAAATGGCCATGACAAGGTCGTTCAGATGCTGGTCGACAGGGGTGCCAGTGTAAATGCAGCGCGTGGCGCCTCTGGTAATGCACTTCGGGCTGCTGCTATTAGGGGTCATGACAAAGTCGTTCAGCTACTACTCGAGAAAGGTGCTAATGTAAAGGCCAGGTTTGGAGAGACTAACCTTGAACTTCAGGCTGCTGCTCTTGAGGGCCACGACATGGTCGTTCAGATACTACTTGAGAAAGGTGCCGATGTAGCGGTAGGGGTTGGCAGATCGGGTGCAGCAATTCGGGCTGCTGTTCGGAACGCTGAGCTTGAGGTAGACGAGCTTGAGAGATTGCTGGACGAACTGGACAGGAGGGCCGGAATATCTACGCCAGAGTTCCGTTCTCGTAGGAGGACGTGACGGAGGACAGGGGGTGTGAATTCCATCCATCCATCCAAAATCTGCCCCCTCCTCATTCTAGATAGAAGAACATGATCCAACTGAACCACCAATGTAGCACGTCCCTCCAGAGAGAGAAGGGATTTGCCCTGTGTTTCTAACGTTATCGCGATACCTGGTATTCCCTACAAGGAGGATCGTGACAACTGTTGGAAACGACACTCAGATTGAAAGATGGGGAGAAAGAATTGATTGATTGTTCTGTCTTCATCCTCCGTGCCGGGCATCGCCCTGACCTCCTTTTTCATAGCTTCTTGTTCGACCCCTGGGACCCCTCTAACATAAGCGCATCAGCAACCAGGCTTCAGTGTTTCAAGTGCCACAACTTGCAACACTGGTATCCACAAGAAGGTTCCATACGGCGAATCCAACAACAACGCGTGTGAGTTAGGGCACTTTATGGGCCTACAATACAACACGTTCGGAAGAAAATGAACAGAATACCGCACAGCTATACAGTGACCTCTCAGGCCTATATTTGCTCTGTAACAACGAAGAAAATAGAGTAAAGAAGACCAACGCCCTGAAGGTGGCGTGGGAGAGGGTGCCGCAGGGCCCTATCGATAGGCTTATTGATTAGATGCCCCGTCGACTGGTTGTAGTGTGAAGGGTACAGGGTTAGTGTACCGGATATTGAAGCCCTGCTAAATGCCTGCAATTCTTAGTATTCGTTATGTAGATTCCATCTGTTTTGACTGAATTGTGGTTGTTGCAACGTGGGTGGTGGTCATGTGGGTGGGGTGCCAAGATGGAAGTGTGAACTTAGTTTTTGACCATAAGCTTAACTACCATTCATTACCTTGCTAGGTACTAGTAGCAAGGCACATCCATAGGTCGAGAATATAGTTAGTATAACCTAGGGAAAATCCAATAACTAGCTAGTTATAAGCAGCTCGAGTGGAATATTGTACCTGGTACATTATCACGAATCGCCGCCTGCCCATCATCGCCAGCGCGACTAAACTGAATCCAAGAAACAACCGACAGGTCCTTCGATTATGCCCGTACCCGAACGCCTTTAACTAAATCAGACCCTCTATCCCATACGTCTTTTGTCCAACCCAGATGCCACACACACATCAAGTCTAACTTCGCTGAATCTACCAATATATAGTATATAGAGCAACCAACTGACCACCCGCTCGCCCATCGTGCAGTTCGTACTTCGTCAAGAGACACACCCAATAACCGCCCCACTGGGTACCATCAACTCCTTACTAGTACCCGTGCTTACTCCTCTTCATCATCCGTATCCCGCGGCTTGGGCGTGCCTTTGGGGCTATTCAACCACTCAATATGCCTCAGCCTACGCCGGGCCTCCTTCTCCTTCATCTCCTTCTTAGTCAGCTTCTTCTTCTTTTTGGCCCTGAACTTCATGCTCTCCCCGGTGACGCCACCGTTGTCCTCGGCGCCGCTGTTCACGGCGCTGCTGACGGCGCTGGAGCTGAGCGCGGGGGTGTTGAGGCCGCTGTTGATGGCGGAGGCGGGCTTGCTGGCGCCGCTGTCCTCGAAGCGGTCGAGGGCGGCAGTAGACGCGCCACGGTGGGCGACGCGCCCGTCGTAGACGTGCCACTGCTCCGAGGCCAGGGCGCCGACGAACTCTTCGTTGTGGGAGATCATGACGACGCCGCCACGGAAGTCGCGGATGGCGACAGCCAGGCCGCCGAGCGAGTCACGGTCCAAGAAGTTAGTCGGCTCGTCGAGGACGAGCAGATGCGGGTTGTTCCACATGGCGCCGGCAATGACGACTTTGACCTTTTGGCCGCCGGACAACGAGCCGATCTCGTTGTGGTTGGCAATCTCGGGGTCGAGACCGAGATCCTCAAAGTGCTTGGAGATGACGGATGGTTGCAGTTCGCGGTAGCCCAGACCTTCACGCGAGGCTTCGTGGTCGTCAAATTCTTGGACAAGCTTGGCGAAACCCAGGTCGAGGAGTGTTTCGCGTGAGAATTGCGAGTTGTGCTTGGGGAGGAAGCCTCGCCATTTCCTGGAGCTGTCAGTACAAGAGGGCAACAACTTGGGGGAACAAAGTTGGGAAACTTACACCTCGTATTGGAAGGTCTTCTTGTACTTCTGCCGACCGACTAGGGACTCGATCTGGCGCTTGCCCTTACCATCGCCAACGTCGACAAACTTGTCCATCTGCTCCCGGTCCGCGTCGGACAGGATACGCGTCTGCTTCATGTGCACCTCGCGGTCGTCACCATGCGCGTAGCGCCATTGCAGATATTGGTTGGGCGTCTTCTCGAGATGCATTTCTACGTGCTCAAGCGCGTGCTGCTTGATGTAGCCGATACGAAGGTTTGGATGCTTCTCAACCTTGCCGGAAATCGGAATCACCTCGCCCGTCAAAAGCTTGATCAGAGTCGACTTGCCGGCACCGTTGGGGCCAATGATGGCGACACGCGACGACAGCGTGAGCTGGCAAGAAACGTCGCTCAGTGACGGCTTGGGCGCGTTGGGGTAAGTGTACGAGACGTTGGTCATGCGGATGATGGCACGCGTATGGGATTTGACACCCGAGAGAATACCTGGGGGAGGGAACTTGAACTGGACGTTCGATGCCGACAAGGTGTAGTAGCTCTTGGCCTCCGGGCGGACCTGGACAAAGGCGGCAAGGTTGCCCTTGTAGTGGCCTAGCTTCTTGCCGGGTTCGTAATGGTAAATATCGGTGGTGACCTCGTCGAGGAAACCGGAATCGTGGGACACGATCAAGCTCGTGATGTCGGTGTGGGACTTGAGGTAGGTCTCCAGCCATTTGATGTTTGTGACGTCGAGATGATTGGTAGGTTCGTCCAGCAACAGAACATCAGCTCTCTGGAGCATGGCGCGGGCCAGAGCCAGCTTCATTTTCCAACCGCCTGACAGCGAGCCGACCTTTTGAGACTGCCGGCCCTCGGGACCGGCTGTGAAGCCGAACTCTTCCAAAACCGACGAGATTCTTTCCTTGCCCTCTTTGGCAATGGTAGGGTCCTTGGAGACAAACTCGAGGATGCTGATATCGGCATCCTCGCCCTGGTTGTGCTCCACATAACAGGTCCGCAGCACATCCTGAGACGGGAAGCCCTCCAGCTTACCGCTAGCGATACTTCTCATTAGCGTCGACTTGCCGGCACCATTCCTGCCACAAAGGCCATAGCGGTGACCCTTGAGCAGTCTGAGGTTCGTGTGTGAGAGCAGGAGCATGCCGCCATAAGCGAGCGAAAAATCGGCGTTAACGATCTCGATTTCGCCGTCGTCCTCCTTCTCGGGAACGCCGTACTTGCGGTGGTCTTCCTCGACATAGAACTGCTGGACCGAAGCAGCAATGGTCTCCGCTGCGGGAGTCAGGAACTGGAGATACGGGACAATCCTGGGAGGAATGCGGTCCAGCTGGCGGTGGTTTACGTCTTCGCTGACCATTTCGCTGATGTAAGGGCACGCTAGGCTGTAGGCGTTCGGATCACCGGAGAGGCCGCCGTTTTTGTTGATTTCGCCGTCGAGGACCTTGGCGACGTCTTCGACCGTGGTCCGCTCAACGACAGCGGTTTTGTCATCTCCCATGGCCTTGTCCATAACGCCGAGGGCGCGTGTTGCAAGCTCGCGCACTTCAGGGAGCGAAGCCCTATCAACGACGCTCTTAACGCCGGGCTGGAGCTTCGGCAAGAAAGTCCGGGCCTCGATCGGGTCATGGACGAGCTTGGTCAAGTTTTCGGTGATGACAACTGTCTGGCGAAGGACTTCTTGGGGGGTGGTTGGGTTGTTGAGAGAGCGCTCAAGGAAGGGTGTGAGTAGAGCGAGGACGGGCGAAGTGACGATGGCAACAAAAGTGGTCTGAGAGAGGGCGTGGATGGCCTTTTGCACGGCCTCGGTCGAGGGGTGGTGCATGGTGTCGATAAGGAGGGGAATGCGCGGGGCGACGTCGTCGTTGGAAAGCAGGGTGGTCAGAGAGGTCATAGTCTTGACGGCCTGCTTCTCCACCTCGCTCTTCATATCCAACATGCCGTTCTCGACAATGGGGATGAGGCTTGCGAGCTTAGCGCCCATGGCTTCGCGTAAAAGGTCCTGCTCTTGAGCCTGCTCCTTTGTGCTGCCCAAGGTGATCTTGGCCTTGTCGGCCATCTTTTGCATCAACTTCAAGGCGCCCACAACACCCTGCCACTTTCCGCCGGATTTCTTGATGTACTGGGTAAGCGCGGGCAAGAGCCCCACGACCATGGCCTCGGCACTTAGGTTGGAGAAGAGCGCATCGATGCCGTACTGGGCAGCGTCGCGCACGACGGCGCCCTTGTCGGCGAGGGCATCGAGGGCGCAGGCGAGAATACCGCCATCCTGGAGGAGGAAAACAATCTCACTGATGGGTTGTCGGGCAGGGAAACGCTCAAATAGAGCGCCGAGGAGGTTTTGAGCGCTCTCGCGACGAAGACCGCTTTTCTTGTCGGCAGCAGCCTTCTTGGCTTCGGCGATGACGCCGTAGTAATGTAAGCCCTGGAAGCCAACGGAGTTGAGGAGAAGCTCGCAGAGCCCGTAGCAAGCGTCAATAGAGGCGGACGAGGTCTTGGCGGTGAAGATGGTGGTGAGGATGGATGATACTTCGGCCTGGGTGGGGGCTGGGGCGGCGCCGTCGGGGGGCTTGATGGGCACCGTCATGGTCGGCGGCGAGACAGGGTGTGGCATACTCTGTCGGGTCGGGTAGGTAGTGTTTGGCTTTTTCGGTTTCGGCGTCGCGTATTACGGAATAAGTTGAAAAATGGGCGAGCCTGATAGACAACCCGTTTTGTAATTCGGGAGCGTACTGTGGAGGGCGGAAGTTGAGGGTGGACGGGAGGGATGAGGTGGTGATGGGGCGCAGGTTTTGTGGTTGGCGGCCACTGTCAATTGCCCCGCGGCCTCGAAATTTTGCCAGACGCAGTGCTAGTTATCTGGCGTGAAATTTCTCTTATCAGGCCCAAAATGCCCCACCATTCAGCCCGCCAATGAGGGGCATGTGGGCCACCATGTGCGACCGTTTGCATCCACCGGAGAGCACCTCAAGTGCCTAATGAAGTACCTACGTTACTCGACGATTCCCTCATACCCGAGCACTGGGGAGCGTCACGACTGTTCAATTATTACCGCTCAGCTGCTTTTCTCAGCCCACCAGAATACACGCTTATAATCAAGATATAGAAAAGAACTCGAGCCGAATCAACATGCAGCCCACAGGGGCTTAACAATCAATCCTCTTAGCATCACCGATGCATGTAACACTCGCCCTAGTAGATGCTGCCTTGAGAACAGGTCAGTCCCCAGACAGTCCCAGTGGTGGCTTCATAGCACAGCGCAAGGCGAAAATGATGGCCCGAAAAGCACTGTATCGCCTACCAAGGAAATGCGGCCACGCTGGCACCCAGGCATGGCAACGATGGCCAGGATGATACGGTGAGAGTGGGGTCACAAGGCGGTAACTAGTCATCACGCAATAAATACATTCCAAAATGGAAATCCTACCTAACTATCCGCGGCCTTCTTCCTCTTTGCTGCCGCACTAAGTGATGTATCTAAAGTAACCGCTTGCTACTCGGCGATACTCGACTGGCTAAAATCCTGGGAAAGTCCGCTCGCCTCGGACAGCGGTGGGACATCAAAGTTCAATTCAGACGGTAGCTGGTCAACAGCGGAGCAGATGCTCTCGAAATGCCTGGGCATCCATATATCGTAGACGTTCTTCGTGAATTGATATACCGTCCATTTGTCCTTTCCATCGAGCGTAGTAAAGGAAAAATCATGGATCGGGTGCCGGTAGTACATCATTGATATCTTTCCCAGTTATTACCGGGTAGTGGCGCTCAACCCATTGCACTAGTTAAAACTCTTATTATTATTATTTTCTTCTCTCTTTTCTTCCCTCTTGCGCTGGTCATCAGGGAGATGGACCTATCCAGAGTCGCAAAGCGCAAAGCTCACGTCGCGCAACGAAGTTCTACTTGATAATTTTTGACCAGTCGTCCACTTCCTTGGGAAGTTGGAAGGGGGGCAGCGAGCGGGGTTGAGCAAGAGACGAGCAGGTGTGGGCGACGCTGAGCGGGGCGCTTTGCACACACACTTGATAAGAGCGGCAATGTTTCCATGCGTAGCTGAGCCGCCATCAAGTTAGCCATTCAGCAGAATCGTGAATTGCACTGAAACACTTCCAGGGTCTGGAGGATTACGGAATACGGGAGAACATCCGGCCCCAAGAGCGGGGGGCCAAGGCGGTTGGCGCTGGGCGGGGGGCCGGCCCGGCTACGTGGGGTCGCCGGCACCGTCTATCGTCATGGCGGAGGCGGCGATGGTCCGGGAACGCGGAGTCGATCGCGTCCGGAAAATATCCGGGATGCCGAGTGTTCCAACTTCCTCTTGAGTTTTGTGCATACTCTTTTACCCTTCAGAACCGAGTTGGGCCCCTTGGAATAGAATCGTGCTCGGCGGAGCTGACGGGGCTGACGGGAGCTGACATCAGTGACATCCCCTGTCCGGCAACCGGCGAAGTGTGATGTGTGACCGCGCGGCTAACAACACAAAAAGACTTCTTGCAACTTTCTGGGGGCCGAAACACCCTGCAGTGAACATATGATGCGCAACCTCGGCCGGAAACCATCAGTATCGGAGCCCGTGTTGTGTGCGTGTGGAATTCGGATGCATCAGCCGTCAGCATCAAGTGCGATGCATCTACCACCACAAGCCTGCAGCCAGATGCGTGTCATTCAGGCAAGTTCAACGCACGAGAGGAGAGAGAAGAAATGTGTTTGGAATTCTCAATCCATGGTTTTGGGTATAACCCGTCAGCTCGGACCCGGTCCATCCGAGCCCTGTGGCTTTGGGGCGGACGCACCCGCGGCCCCCAACCCCTATCCGCTCCCGGCTGACACATAACGGTGAGCATTGCGAGGGCCATGGGCGAGTTCATCCACAAAGGGCAGCCAAATGCAGCTTATATAATGTAGCGGTTAAGGCTGAGCTTCGGATGTTTACCCGCAAGACGTTGGACTGGTTGCCATGACCCGCTCCACGGGAGTGCCGGGCGGTCCCGAGCCCCTTGACAGGCGTCGTCCCATACGATCGGGTTCGCCGTCGTCATAATCATCTGCAAGGTACTATACACCGAGACCAGGTGACAGATACCGGTATGCAAGGTCGCGGCGTGTGGTCGGAAGCGGTCCTCGGACCTGCTCGAACCGGTCCTAGCCTTGTGTATCCGGCTCCCATAGCCACGCTGTACTACAATGAGAGGCGGTGAGTTACCTTCGTGCGCTTTCAACACAATCACGCCGGGAAGCCCCTTATTTCGTTTGATTTCCAAGAATCGTGCTTTGGGGGGCGTCGATTTCGAGTGGTGCGCCGGTCTTGGGACATGATGACGTTACCTTCTCCTCGGACTTTACAGCCCTTTGAAGCCGCAAATACTTCAAGAGCAATGACACAATGTGACCAAAAGCGCCCTTCGAGCGGCTTTCTGTGTACGACGTTATAAGTAACTCAGCCTCATCGACACCTGGGCCCATACCACGAAAACACCAACAGCAACGTGATATGGACGCCTAGATGTAGTATAGAAAATTGCATTCCTCATAAAACCGTCACCAGGGCAAGCCACGTAGATTAACCCCTTACCCAAGAGTGCTTGCATGACGACCAACGTAAACAAACCCGTGTAAGTGGTGAGAAAAGGGGACTGGGTGGAGCCGCTTGGCAACCCCCTTTCACCCCTTTCCGCCCACAACCCTCAGTAACACCCCCAGGAAACCCCTTTACAAACCAAAAAGGAAGGTAAAAGGGTAAACGGGTAGGCATGCATAAACACTAATAGAAAACAAAAAAAAACACAGCATCCCTCACCGTCGCAAAAACACCCCATCTCCCTTCCGTCCCCCCTTTCCCCCTTTTTACAGTTACAGCCCAACCACAACCAACCCCCTAACACCCACACAAATCTCTCCCCCATCAAAGCAAGTAACATACCCCATCATTCACCCTCCCCCATCAACTCCACCACCCACCACTCAAGGACTAGGCGGCGGCGAAGGTGTACCCGGCGGCGGCCGAGGCGCCTGTGGGCCCGGCCGGGGATTCGGAGGCGGCGTGGGTGGCCGGGCTGGGGTGGGGAGCGCGTGGGGTCGAGGTCTCCCGCACTCTCTCCCGTCGTCACTCATGCCCTCTCTCAAGTTGTTTCTCAAGCCGTCTGGGGTGGGGGTGAGGTCGGTGGCGGTGATGGTGATGGTGTTATTGTGGTAGGGGTGGGTTGGGTTGTTGGAGAGGGTGGGGAAGCTGGTGTCGTCTCCATCATCGTTGTTGTCCTCTCTCATCCTCGTCGTAGTCGTGGTCGTGGTTGGTTGAGGAGAAGGAACGGGGTTGGCGAGGGTTTGGGAGGAAAGGTGGGGGGGACGGAGAGAGCGCCGGATGGGATATTCCGCGGAGAGTGATCATCTTGCTTGGGGTTTGGGTTCGGATTTTGGAAGTGTGTGGATAGGTATGTGAGTGTATGGGCGTACGTGTGTTCAGTGAAGCTCTGCTGTGTGTTTGTGCTGATAGGATTTGACCTGAGGCAGCGCCCTCACCGGCGTCTTATATGCCTGTTCATCGCCTCTCCAGTAGCCATGACTCAAAGCCGAAACAAACAACGTCAGTGTCGAGTCTTACGGACAGCCGCGACTTGTAACACAAGAGGACCGTGTAACGGTGACCAGAGCCCATTTCCAGGACAGAATGTGTCACATGGCGCGCTTGCGCGCTTGTCAAGACCGAGGAACAAAGGCACTACCGGCATGAAGGATCTGACCGAGCCCTACGGAGAGAGTGTGAGGACATATGGACTCGGCATGTGGCGGTGAGGTACCCGACGGCGGTCAGTGGGGGGGTTACAGAATGACCACGCGGCTCTGCAGTTGGCTACGGCAGTGAAAGCAAGATAGGGGCTTGCCTCCGTAACCCGGCCGAGGGACAGACAATGACGTCGTCAACGGGCCTGGGGAGTTGGGGGGCGGCGGAAGGACCATTCCCTTAACTAGGAAAACCACCAGACAAACGCGACAAAGCCAGCATATTCTGGTTCCCGAGGGACGGGCTGGGGCCACCGGTGCGCGGCAGGACGAGGCTATGGTATGCGCGGCCCCGCTGTTGCCTGTGACCCATCAACTGGTGGGAAATGGCGGAATAGCAAGAATTACATTGCGCATCTGCAAGTAAGCAACCTGCAGGGGCAGGGAGGTTGGACTGGCAGTGGTGTTGTATCAGTGTGGGCGGGATGTTGACCAACGTTCGAGTAGAGCCGCGGCCCGGCTGCCAGGAGAACGGTCCTGTGTGACGATGCCTGCACCGAGTTTACAAAAGAAGAACTCCACGAAGAGCTGAGGCGAGAGACAGAGACCCGCTTACATCTCGGTCCAACTTCGTACCTCGAGCGAGTTACCGGCGTGTTGGTGTTGGGGCCGGAGTGGGCCGGCCCAATGACGACCCCTTTCTCTCCTGCAGCTCCCTGCAGAGCTTCCACATCTGCAAGTGGCCCGATCTGAGACAGCCGAGTCCCGCTTCACGGGAGCAACTGCACACGTTGGACTTGCTTGCATTGGCCCCCGCGGGTGCGAGTGATCACCGATAGGGCTGACTGCGATGCTTGGCGGGTGCTGGAATCAACCAACTCTCCCTCCTTTATCGGTATCGAAGGGTGCCAAGGTCAGTAGAACAGCCCCCGAGTTCACGGCCGAAGAACCACAGGAGCCAAGGGATGGGCAAATGGTCACACTTTGTCCAGCTGAGCCTTGCTCTAAACTTTTGATGCTTCGACTGCCAGGGAATCTGACGTTAGCTGGCAGAGCCGCTAGTCGCTCGGGTATTGGGGAGCTCGCCCCGTAGCGGGACTTTTACGGAGGGGTGGGGGAAACGTGATAGAATGGAAGTGCGTTCTCAGGACGAATAGACCAAGGGAGTCGGCCGTCCGAAGGGCCCGACGGCCCTGACCTCGAGAGCCGTAACCGGGCAGAGAACTTGTGTTGGAATACTTCGCCGACCGGGCCATTTTGTGTCCGTTTGATGTAATGTAATGTATGCAATGCAATGTGCCAGCGTGGGGGCACAGCCCCGCGTTTCCCCAACTAAGTACAACAACCAGGTGTCAGCGTGCCATACATTTAGGTTCCCAGGTAATGACCAAGTATCCTTCGGTCGGCATTGCATCCCCACACACTGAAAGCTCTCGCATCGGGTCCTGTAACCTGATCAAATTCCGCGTAAGGCGTCTCCGACCGGCACGTGAGCATCGGTAACATCAATCCCGGCGCTGTGTAACCTGTGGCTTCATAAAACATGGGGCTGATTGCCGATGCTGACCTTTCTATGGGGGCCGAAGGATCGGAGGACAGCTCGACTTGCTTCGGGCCCGACCACAAAGAATGTGGGGGACATGTGTTGCTGCACGGCATGTTTTCAGGGCTGAAGACAGAAGAACCCGTGGCAACCAGGGGTCTAGCGGGCCGAGTTTGACACGAAAATTGTTGCTTGGGAACCAGCGAGCTGCGGCGAGTCAACAATGAAGCAGAATGGAAGCCGCCAAAAGTTCCCAGAGCCCGAGTAATCATTAAATTTGGCGATTGTCGGCTAACTTGGTGACAGAGGCATCGGTTCGTCTAAGACCCATTAGCCTAGCAACGCCGGATGACGAAACACACGTGTGAGAAAAGCCATTTGCCCCTTTTCCCATTGTCCATTCTTTTGCGACCGACCATTCGCCCTAAACGCCAACCGCTGGAAAGCTCCCACATAACCCAATTCCCCCAATTCCCCCAATCCCCTCATCTTCGGTCCCGGCTGCGGCTACGAGTCCTGCTCCGACGGTCGTAGCTGTCATAGCTATCGCGGCTAGGGCTTCTCCGCCTACCGTGACCGCGGCCGCCCCTGTGATCTCGACCTCCGCGACCCGCTGGTGTCCGCGAGGGGGACCTCGATGTGTAAGACGCCGACCGGGACCGGTACCGACGAGTGCCACTGGCTGTGGGTGAGCGAGAGCGTGACGCGGATCGGGGACGGTAGACGTCAGAGCGATGTCCATAACGACCCGAGCCACCAACAGCTGGTGACCTCCGGCCCCGGCCAGCCGAAGACCCGCCCCCAGACGGTCCAAGGATGGACCTAACGTTGGCCGGGGGGCCGCGGGGTCCACGGCGGGCTTCGGGAGGTGAGGGAGAGACCTTGCGGCGCGGGAGGACAATCGATACGTTAATGACACTGCCGTCGAGTTGCGCTTCGTGCATGTGCGTGATTGCAGCCTGAGCGTCGGCCTCGGTGTAGTAGAGGATGTAGGCTGTGCCACGATTCATGCCGGCTGCCGTGGACGGTCAGCATCGTCTTGCAACGATTTACTGGGGGGTACCTAGAGGAGGGAGGGACCCGTGCCGGCGGCATGCGACTCACATTGTCTGTTAACGGGGAGATCGAGGTCGTCAATGCTGCCGTACTGGCCGAAGATCTCGTAGAGGTGGTCTTCGTTGACATTCTTGGTCAACCGCTCGACAACAATCTGCACAATTTCCGGTCAGTCGACTGAACGGTTGCAGCCCAGCTTTCCCGAGTCTTCCGAAGAGATCGGCTTGCTTGCCTTTGTAGACGATTTCTCCAGCGGGCTCTCGCTCCGGGTCCTACTACGTGAATGGCTGTAATCCCGACTGTAGCTTCGGCCACGCGAGTCGCTCCGGGAGCGGGTGCGGCTGCGACTTGGTGTGCGGCTCGTGGTGCGACCGCGGCTGTAGCGGTGCGACTACGGTATTTGCCATCCCGAGCTGGGGAGCGGGCATGACCATCTCGGTCGTCGAAACGGCGGCGGCCCATGGGCGAGGGCGAGCGGGAATGGTGCGAGTGTGGTGTTCTGGACCGGGATCGGGAGAGGGATCGGGAGCGGGAGGGCTCGTCGAGAGCCATGAGCTCGCTTTCCCTGACGGGAGATTCCATGTTTTTCGTGTAAGGTAGCACAATCGGCGGGGCGAGCGAATAAAACGGTCCCGGAGGAAGGTGGGTTGGAGGGTCGAAAACCACAACTGATTCAGCTCTGGCGCGCCTGCTCGGCTCGATGCAGAAAGCAGAAAGACGCGGCAGTGCGATGAAAACTTGATTGGATGACAGAATCAATCCGCCCCACCTGCCTGTTTCGAGCGTCGCTTTTCAGGGTCCTGTCACTCCTTACGCTCTTCAGAACAGCAAAAAAAAGAAGAGGCCAGCCCCGGCACGGGGCAAGACAGACGACAACCCACCATGTATGTTACCGAAATTCGACCGCTGTCGGAGTTGGACGACGTTGATTCACGGTCGGTCGACTTGGATAAGCCGTGATGTCCATGTTGGCATCCAACAAGTCAAAATCACCCAACTGGAAACCTGGAAAGACAAGTTGAACATTCTCTACGAAGCGCTCCGTACTTTCTTTTCTTAAGAAGTTAAGAGACCTGAGTTGAAACGTCCTACTTGCCCCTCAAGTTCTTTACCATCCGATCTCCAGAGAGAGCGTGGGGATCCCAGGAACTACCGCCTTTGCCCCTGGACCTGCTTTCACCGTCATGCTCGAGACGAACTCCCTAGCCATTTGGCAAGTTGGATGTCGGAAATATATGTTCTTATTCCGAAACAATGACGGCAGCATATGAGCAGGCATTCAAGCTTTCAGTCCCTGCATCTTCGGCATGCTGCATCGCTGTCCTGGGCCGTCCTCCCACTTTTCGCGACGTCACGGCCTTGCCCTTATTGGATGAACACCCAAACACCAATACCAAGCCTCCATTAATCCGACCCTCGATGGCCTCGCGCTTGACGTCATGCCATCGATCGTCAACACCACGACAAAATCAAGTTTGCAAATCTAGAAGAATGATGGCAATGGGTGAGAAGAAGCGGGTTCAAATAGAGTTGGTTTTCCGCCTGGCCCGACTGAAATGCGATCCACAACTTGCCCCTTTTTTACATGACTGAAAGCTTATCTCAACTTTGCCTACCTACCTACCAACCCCCCTAACCAAACCAAATACAACACCACTTATACTACAACATGGGTCTCTTCTCTCGTCACGCCGAACCAGGCCAAGAGCCGGCCGCTCAGCGCCAGCCCGCCTACGAAGAGCGCCAACCTGTCTATGAAGACCCCCCCAGGAGACACGGCCTCTTCGGAAGCAAGCACCACTCCCCCACCCGCGCGCCCACCAATGCCACCCACAGCACGCGGAGCAGCACTACAACGTCCTCCCCCGACCGCAGCACCGGCGGCGGCGGTATCTTCCGGCGGTCCACCGATGCCAGCCATAACCCAAGCATGAACGGCCACCAGCGCACCGGCGGCGGCGGCCTGCTTCACAAATTCGGCGGCAACCGCGAGGAGATGGACCCCAGCATCGTGCAGGCGCGCGAGCGCGTCATGGGTGCTGAGGCCGCCGAGATGGAGGCCGACCGGGCCCTGATCGCCGCCCGCGAGAGCGTCCGCGAGGCTCGCGAGCATGTCCGCATGCTGGAGCTCGAGGCCAAGGAGGAGGCGCGTCGTGCTAAGATCAAGGAGCACCATGCGAAGGAGTTCTCGAAGAGGGGGAAGTTGCTTGGACGTAAGTTGGCTCCCAACCGTGGGTTTGTATTCGTTTAGTTGCTAACGCGGTACAGGTCATGACTATTGAGTTGATAGGGATGCCATCACCTAGCTTTTTGCAAACACCGCGTCGGTCCGTCATCTTAGATAGACGTCACGCGGTGTTGGAACTACATTTTGCTTTCTCTCCTTTGCAATGTACACTACTGTATTCTCTGGCTTTTAGCAATATACCACGAGCGCGTTCTTTGCCTTTCTTCCATCGAACACCAACGACTCCGCAAGAGCGTGTGATAACCCACCCCACTGCTCTCAGAAACCCAGACATGTACATACTACACAACGAGAACACCCATAAGAAAAACACGGCAACACGGTTGTTATTCATTGAATTTGTTTATTTGTCGTCCCAAGATTCCCAGTACCAGCCCAATTACCACCTATCTCCCATCCCCTCGCCAAAAAACAAAAACAAAAGAAAAGCCCTCTACTCCCCTCCAGCCATCACCCCCCTCCACCCCTTCCACTCCTCACAACAAAGCCACCACCCCCGCCACACCCACCACCGCCGCAACAACACTCTTAACCAGCTGCCCCTCAGACCCCCCCACACCGTGCCCAGCGCCATTCTTATGGCACGAACACTTGGCGCAATTCTTCTCGTGGCGCAGGGCGTTGAGCGCGGCGAGCTCGGTGGCGTTCTTGGAGCAGTCGCACCTCAGCGGGGACCTGTTGCAGCGGTGGATGCCTTTGTGCTGGACCGGGTCGAAGGGTTCGAATCCGGTGCTTGTGTCGGTGTCGGTGTCGTCGGTGTCGGCGTCGGTGTCGGCGTCGGTGTCGGTGTTCGCGTACGAGATGGTTGTGGCATCCTCGGAAAAGAGGATGTGAGGGGGCCCGCTGTCGGCGGCTGAGTTGCCGACGCTGCTGGATGTTGGTAGGGCGCTGGCGGCGGCGGTGGTTGCCAAGGCCCCGGTTACGCTGAGCAGGAGGGCCGGTGCGAGAGCTGAGACGTAGACCATTTTGATGGTGATTGCGGTGGTAGGTGTCTATGCGGTAATGGTCTCGAAAACGGAGTCTGCGGTGTGTGAGATGCCCACAGACGGCAAGTGTAAAGTGAATCTTGAGTAGCAAGTTGATACTGGGGGGCCATGATCGAGAGAAGACTGGTTTGTTGTTTATATAAACACGCATGCTTTGTTTCATGGCGTGGTGAAGTCGCTAGCCATTGATTGTGTCGGCTAGACCACGTGTTTGTTGACTTTGTTGAACATCGCGCGGCTCACAGGGGATTACCAGCTCTGGCTCAAAGACCGCTTACCTTGGTCTGTGACCCGCTCGGCATCCTTTGGATTCAAAGATTCGTTATCTGGTAAGTAATCATAGAACGATGCATCCATCACCCAGGTGATCCTCGTCGCCCTCCGTTCGGGAGAGAAGGTGTTGGATAGAAGAAGCTTTCTGAGTAGCAGCTTGGGTCTGGCATCGCGAGGGTGTCAGGTCAGTGCGGCACATGCTGTCGTCAGTTCTCGCAACTTGGGGCGAAGGAGAGTTGCCCCCCTGTGTTGACAAGATGGCCCCGTCAACGTTGCCACTGGCCTCCGTTGGCTTAGCTGGTACAGGCATGGCCATGTTGGCTATTCCATTCGTTGGAAATGTGACTTATTGTGAAGGAGGTTGATTGTGAGGAACCGCTGGCAGAACCCGGGTTTGAATAATTATGACCTCGGAGCTCCCTTTGTTCGCGGCCAAAGGCATGATGAGGTCACCCCACGACGACAGGTATGACCCGAGCCCCAAACAAAGAAAACAGGAATCACACATAATGTTTGCCTGTGCTGCCACTTAGACTAGTATTGTCAGGGTCTCGGGCCATGGAAAAGCTGGTGGGGTATCAGAGGCGAGGCACTCCTGGTCAAGTTGGGGCTTGCATCCTGTGTGTGTTGTTGGTGATGTGAAAAAGGCGACTCATTCATTCATAATAGCCGCATCACAGTGCAATGCACTAGAGCTTCTAATTGTAAGCCAGAAATTGGCAGTCAGGGCCGCTCGAATATGAAGTCTTCCAGTTCTTGGGATTCCTATCAAGAGCGACGAACTCGTAAAAACGGCACAGGGCGTAGAGTGGGTTGTCCTTGTACTCGCCCCGGGGCCCGCCGAACTTTCGGGCGGCGATCTTGTCGAATTGCTTGATAGGATCTTGAAGGAGATCACACCCGGCGGCAACGGAAAAAAGGTAGGGTAGTCATCTGGGTTCGGGATGTAGACGCCACCCGTGCCTTCTTCAAATTGGTTCTTGCGGCTTTGCCGGAAGATTTGACGGACTTTTGACCATAATACAACACCCCAACTCTCACCCCAACCTCCCAACGACCCCAACCCCAGAGGGATCAACAGCAACAACAACACCAACCCCCCCAACCCCAAAACCCCTCGACATCCTCCCCACGCACGGCCCCCCCAAAGAGCACCTCGACCGCCGCGCCATCCACCGCGCCGGCTGTCCCTATCTCCTCAGCGAGGTCGCCCGCCTCCGCCCGCGGCTGTACGTGTCTGGGCACATCCACGCCGCGCACGGCCGCGAGGATGTCGTGCTGGACGGGGTGCGGCAGGGGCATGACTATGTGCGGATTGGGTGGTGTGGATGGGGGTGTTGGTGGTTTGGGGGTGGGTGAAGGGGATGGTGGGGAAGGGGTGGGGGGATGGTTGGTTGTGGTGGTGGTGGTGGTGGTGAGGGGCGGGAGAGGGTGACGACGTTTGTGAAGTGGGGGGGAGGGGGAATGAGGTGAGGAATGGGGCTGTTGTGGTGGAGATTTGAGTTGGTGTCGATGATGAGATGGATGTGATTTTGGCAGTTGGGCTTTTCGTGTGTTGTGGCGGGCCTGGATACTGAGATGTGGCAGGATTTACGTTCCAGGGCTAGTTATATCCGCCTTGATGGCAGTATGTAGTCGTCGTGCTCGGCTAGTGCAGTTCCGTTGAGTATCAGCCAGACATCTGATGTCCTTTCAAATGACGTCGGCTACGGAAGGACCTCAGCCATGACGTGGGTTTCGAGAATCGGGAATATCCATTTCAAGAACAAGATCAAGTTGAGGCTAGAAACAAATTATCTGAGGTGACCCATGGCTTGCATTGTTGCCGGTGTGCCATATGGATGCCCCTTTTTGGGTATCTGCTCCTGTCGGCCACTCTCTCAGGAATAAATGGAATCATGGCGTTGGGACGGAGTCGAAAATCTTAACGAAGCGGAAAAACATGCAACCCAGCGAAGCAAAGTGAAGTATCCCGCCGCCTCAAGCATGAGATGTCTGGTGGAAGGCGCGTTCTTTCCATAACTTTTGTACACCGTCTCCCCCCACCAACCTGTTTATTTTCGTTCCCCCACGTTTTAGTTTTAGTTTTCTACAACTGTGTCACAAAGCCTTTTTTTCTTCGCGCCCGTCGCAGTCGGGATTATCGCATCTTTTCCTGTCAAATATCCAGTTTGGACTACAGAGCAGTGCGCATACTCGATCTTCATCCTCACCGGCGGGTCAGAAACCGCGAGTCGGCGACCTGCTCAACCTTTCCATTCTTGTGTTGCCTCAGTTGTTCCGCTGACCCCGCCTATCCGTTACTCGATCAACATTCAGCATTACGCTGCGGCCCTCAACATGAGGTCCGTTTTCGCTGTTCTGTTGGTCGTGGCGCCAGTCGCGTGGGCTGCCTACTGGATGGAAGACATCTACCGCCAGGGTATCACACCGTTCAGCGAGGTCCAAGATTACAGGATCTTCCGGAACGTGAAGAAGTTGGGAGCCAAGGGAGATGGAGGTAAAGACGACAAACCCTAATCGCCAGGCCGTAAAATCATTCTAATTAGGGTACAGTTACCGACGACACAGCGATCATCAATCGCGCAATCAGCGATGGCAACCGCTGCGGTGGCCCTGGCTGCGTCGGCTCGACCACCACGCCGGCCATTGTTTACTTCCCGCCCGGAATCTATCTCATCAGTGCCCCAATCGTCAGCTTCTACTACACCCAGATCGTCGGTGATCCGACCAACATGCCAGTCATCAAGGCTGCCTCAAACTTCCCGACTGAGGCAATTGCCATGCTTGATGCCGACCCTTACCTGGACAGCGGTAGTAGGTATTATCTGTTTGTACCGTTCAGACAAACTGCTAACGGCGCCGTGATCAGAGCTCAACTTCCAGGCAACCAACGTGTTCTTCCGCCAGGTCCGCAACCTAGTATTTGACACGAGGGATGTTCGCGGGGCAATCACTGGGATCCACTGGCCATCCTCTCAGGCGACCATGATCCAGAATTGCGTCTTCGAGCTTTCCTCCCAGGAGGGCGACAACCATGTCGGCATCTTTATGGAAGAAGGTAGCGGTGGCATGATGACCGATCTGGTTTTCCACGGCGGCAAGATTGGCGCTCGGTTCGGCAACCAGCAGTACACGATGCGCAACCTCAGCTTCTACGGTTCGGATACAGCCATCGACCAGATATGGAACTGGGGGTGGACGTATAAGTCGCTGAAGATCGTCAACTCCCGGGTTGGCATCAACATGTCTTCCTTGGATGTCGGCTCGGTCACTCTGCTTGACAGCTTGTTCGTCAACGTGAGCACGGCGCTGATCACCGGCCGGAACCCCGGGAACACCACAGGCCTCGGCTCATTGGTGATTCAGAATGTTGAATATGAAAATGTCCCTACCGTTTTGGCCGGAGCTGACGGGAAGCCTCTGCTGTTGGGCGACTCGAGTGGAACCGTCTATGATTGGGGTTATGCGAGGGTAAATTCTGCTTCCCAGGCGTCGAACCGCACTGCTGACTTTCGCAACCAGGGAAATACCTATGCCCCACACGGGCCCTCTTTGCTCGAAGGGCGAGAGTTTACCTTCTCTCAACCTTTGACCTTGAAGCTCGGAGACCGCTATTACGAAAGGTCCAAACCGCACTATGATGACTACCCTGCTGAGCACTTCGTCAAGGCACGAGACCATTATGCCTTTGGCGACGGGCACGTCGACGACACGGTCATGATCCAGAACACTATCCAGGGTGCGGCAAATTCCTCTTACATCGCCTTCTTGGATGCCGGATACTACAGGGTCACCGACACCATCTTCATTCCACCGAATACTCGTATCATGGGCGAAGGCCTGGCCACCGTTATCATGGGCTCGGGCGAGAAGTTCTCAGACCCGGAAAACCCCCGTCCCGTGATTCGCGTCGGAAACCCTGGTGATGTCGGGTTTGTCGAGATGAGCGACCTGATCGTATCGACCCAGGGGCCAGCTCCAGGGGCCGTCATGATTGAATACAACCTCAACACGCCGGCAGCAGAGAACACGTGCAGCCCGGGAAGCCCGCCTTCGGGAATGTGGGATGTCCACATTCGTGTTGGTGGCTTCACTGGATCGCAGCTTCAAGTCGCTGAGTGCCCCATAACGCCAGACAAGCCCAACTATGTTAACCCGTCATGCATCGCTGGGTACATGGGGATGCACATCACTCGGAGCGCCCGAAATTTGTACATGGAGAACAACTGGATCTGGGTGGCAGACCACGATATCGATGACTGGAACTCGACCCAAATCAACGTCTTCGTGCCTCGTGGGATGTTGATTGAAGGGAACCGCATCTGGTCGGTCGGAAGCTCTGTTGAGCACCACACTCTGTACCAATACCAGCTGCTGAACGCCTCGGACATCTGGATGGGCCAGATTCAGACCGAGTCCCCCTACTACCAGCCCAGCCCACCGGCGCCGTACCCCTTTACCGAGCCGAATGTCGCCATTCGCGACCCTGATTTTGCCGCCGATTGTCAGACCAAGCAGGCGAAGGCCTCTTTGAACCTGCAAGGGGATCCGCCCTGCGAGATGGCATGGGGTCTGCGCATCATCGGCTCGAGGAACGTCGTTGTCTTTGGCGCGGGTTTGTACAGCTTCTTCAACAATTACAACACGAGCTGCAGCACCACCGAGTCGGGCGAGAATTGCCAGGCGCGCATCTTCTGGGTCGGGCCAGACACGGTGGGAGGTGGTAGCCCTACCGATGACGAGGACCTGCTGACAGTGGAAATGTATAACCTGAATACTATCGGCAGTGTGAGCATGATTACTCGGCAGGGGTTGGATATGGCGACTTGGGATCAGAATAGGGCAACATTTGCGAGCACTCTGGCTGTTTTTCGGTCGGAGGGCAAAGCATAAAGGGCTGCCATGGGTTGATCTAGGGAGCTGCGTTAACTATCCCCAAGGGAGGAAGCAGGTTTCTTCGGCTCAAACGACAAGAATTCAGCGAGAGCTTGTCAGGTCTCCGTCGTTCTTGCGGCGCTGGCTAGGCGATGATGTGCACCCGGGGCCGGCTTGGGTCACTCATTGGGCTAACCTATTATGATACCACGAAGAAATAAAATGCCTCTTTCCTTTCTGAAATGTTTGCAAAATGAGTGTTGGCGGCCATGACGCCTCAGCGTGGCGCCCAAGCGTTTATCGATCATGATCCTTTCGAGTTTGGCTTCGCGGAAAGGGCGGTACGCAAATAAGGGATTCTGTGGACAACCCTCCCTCTTTGAGGTTAAACTCGGTGCTCTGCAAACATATAAGGTCAAGATCAAGCATTGATAGTCCGAACATCACCGTCGATCAACGTGGATATTGCCCATCTTTTCTTAGTTTTTTAAACTTTTCAGCGCAGACCGCAACGCGCACGCAGGCAAGGCCCTTGTGCCCCCTGGTGTAAGTCGCGATCGGTCCGATCCGATGATGGCGATCGCCTGGCTCCACAAAAGGCAAAAGGCCGGAAATGAGACAAACCCACGCCAAGGATTGCGGTCCCCCCCATGTGGTCGGCGCTTGGGCCAGCGCTTGCTTTCTTGTCCCAATCTCCCCCCTGCTGTGTCTGTATTCTGTATGAAGTTTTGTGTGGAGTTTGTAGAAGGATTGATAGGTAAGTTGGGGGCGGATGATGGAGTCTGCTGGTTTGGGGGAGGGAACTGTTGAAGCTATTGCTGAAAATGCGATTTACGGAGAAACAGAGAAAAGGTTTGTTGGGAGGGGCGCTGAGATGAATGGGGTATTGTTTGGAGCCACCGTTCAGACACGGTGACCGGCGCTTAAAATGTTTGTCGGTGTGGGACGGGGCTGCCGCCAACGGACTCAGGAATTGACCCGGAGTGGCAGGTGGCGAGGGATGCGACAGACTTTTCACTCAAAGACAGACACACACCGACAGGGCAACCGCTAACGGAGATTCAAGTGAAAATGGGTATCGACCAAAGTTGAATATATAGGGTAAAATGTTAGGATGTGAAGTGAAAGGTAAAGGGGCATCTTCCTTGCGCCGCGTCCATCATTCCCTCGTAGAAAAAGCCTTTTCGTGAATACCACCCCCCAGAAATGAAACCAGATTGTGACCCTGCCATCCCCGCCATTGCTCCTCCTCATATGCAAAGTCAAGATCCGTCCCAAATCAGCCCCAAGAAAATCAAGAGTAAAGTCCAGCCGGGCAAACCACCGCCTTCTGCCCGAGATCAACCCCCTGAAAGTAGTGTCGAACAAGCCGGCGCAGGTGGCGCGCGAGCGGAAGTGAAGGCGAGAAAAAGGGTATCAAGGTTGACGGTGAGCCGCAAGCGGCAAACGGGAGAGATCTCGGGCGATGTGGTCAGGTTGCGTGCGCCGATGGTTTGCCGGAAGAACGAAGAAAAGGTAAGGTCGGCGGGCCTAGACAAGTCGGGGGTAGGACTCCTGAGGTGGCGACCTAGCAAAAGTGCTAACCCATCCGACCGTGTCGAGGATGCCTCACTCGAACAAAGGAAAAATTGGTGCGATGCTAGCATCGAAGAATTGGCACGCTAACAGTGTGGCGGCTGTCGTACCCTAGGCGTCCCAATCAAGTGATGGGGAGCACCTGTCCCAAGATCCAACTTCCCCCGAGTCGCGTCGCTAAACTTAGAGAAGGACAGCGGCAACGACACCAGCCACACCAAGGGCAGCCATATGGCCCGCCTGGAGCGCTAACCCGCCGTTCGGGTCGCTTGAGGTGGTGGCGGCCGGTTCACCCGAATTCGTGGGGCTGGGCAGCGTGAAGGAAGTCGAGATGGAAGTGCTGTTAGCGAGAACCGTCATCTGTGCGCGCTGCAGGGTGAGCGTCTTGGTGAGAGTCAGGGTGCTTGTTGAGGTAGTCGTCGTCATGTCATCGGCGACGGCCGCTAGCGGCAAGAGGACCGCGGCGAAGATGGTCGGCAGATGCATTTTGGAGATATGTAAGTGGGTGTAAGTGTGTTGAGGTCGTTATCGAAGCGTGAAAAGAAGTGAAAGCCGGTTCCGAGTCCGAGAGACTTGGGTCAAGAACGGTTTTTGGTTTTGTCAACTCGAGATTGGAGACGAGTGAGTTGAGGTGATCGTTGCAGGGTCGTTTCAGCGAAGAATGAGCACAAGTGCTAGTTTAGAGATGGTGGATGATGATGTTTTCGCTGGAGAATTGTTTCAGAAAGAATGACAGACTGAATACGTCGAGTATTCAAGGTCGGGAGAGGGGCTCTTAGAGTAGACTTTGCCAACGAAGCCTGTGGGTGAGCGAGGGGGTGGACGGCGCAGAGCTGAAGAGGGATGGGGAAGGAATGAGAGAAGCCCACGATATCAAGTGGATTTGTCTGGGGGGACCCCAGGGCCACACGGCCCCAGTTTGCGGCGCAAATTGCGATTTTAGACGCCAAGCAGCCAAACAGCCGACAACAACACAAAAGACGCCTTGCACAGGCTGCAACGCAACAAGACGTACCTGACGCTTTCCCTCCCAGGGATTGGCGCCACGAGGGGTTGCCGGTACCTGCATCTTTTTCGGCAGGGATATTCGACACCCTTCCTTCCCCAATTGTTGACCAGGCGCCAAATGCGATCCTCGCCGCGGAAATCGCACTCTTCTTGCCCTGGACTGGCGACTTGAACGGGGGAAAGCCGCTGCCCTTGATTGGATTGCCGCCCTGACAACGACCGTCCACCGCACAAAACGGTTTCGGTGGCGTGCCCGGGTTTCAACGGGAGATTGCAGTCGCGGGCTGACAACTTGCGGTCCTGTCGAATACAACCTCGACCAGCGCACTTTACCAAATAGAGTATGCTGTGGGATGCTGTGCCTGCCCGAGCCGCTTCCTCCCATGCTGCTGTTCAAAACGCCGGCTAGGGACCACCACAGCCACAGCCACAGCGATGAACTGTGGATGTAAAGAGCCAAAAAAAGAATGCTCGGGGATTCGACTCTCTCAGCCACGATATCGTGTCTTTTACTCATTTTTTTTTCTCTCGCGCCTTTCAAAAATGGCGCGACGATGCTCACCCAAAATCTCTCAAGCGCGATGGAGCGCCCAACAGACGGCGGCGACCTGCGAGATTTGATCAATTTGCTCCACGGCCCTTGATTGGCGTGCCTGGCATGACGTGCCGCCCTCTGCCATTTAGGGTGGGCCGTGCGAAAGGGAGACTCGACCGACGAGACTCGCTTGAACCGCAAGGGGTAAGACGCCTAGCGCAGTCCGGGGTAATCGGCTCCGACAGAGATGAGAAGCGAAATCGCTGGCGATCTGGTCCACGCTGGCCAGGGTTGCTTTTGCGGCAGCCTTCTTTTTGTGGGGGTGTGATTCCGTAATCCCGCTCTGGCAACAACAGATGATGCTTTCTGGTGCCAGGTGTCGTCGCCATGCGTTGCCATGCAGACTCCTCGGCGCACCACGTTGCAAAAACTCCGCTGGCCGAGCGCTGGCATTCAATGGTCTCAGGCCCCAGTCGGACAAGGCCAAGATGTTTCCTGCATTGTTTCCCATCCTGCTCTCATTGGAGCTGCGTCGGTGACATAGCAAGCGGAGTGTAGTCCGTTTTCGTTGTTTGCATCTGCCGACGATGAACCCAGTGCCTGTTCATCTGTGATTTCCCGATGCCCGAGACATCATGACGACAGAGGATCATTCGACGACCAGGTCGTGCTTGCCGGACGAGGTTGTGATCTGTGGGATGCCGTCTGATCCGGCAAATATGATCCTCCTCCGTGGGCCGTGTCTCCCAATATTGCTACGATTAGCCCTTTTTCAGCCGGTTAAACGACGATGTTGACTCGATCGTGCGAGCCGCGAACGCCAATACGTCGAGAAACCCAGTTTCAGTTTTAGAACCCGTCCGTTTTGACCGAGGGGGGGGGGGGGGTGGTTAAGGGGTTCTGACAGTGGTGAGAGGTTTCGTTAGGTTGCATAAAACTGCCCCTTTTCAGACATTTCCCTTTTGCCCGTCCTTGGCATCGAACGGTTCGAAGAGACGTCCTCCCTTTCTTAAACCCGCCCACTCGTTCCACGGGGGAAAGCACGGCGAGGTCGGGCCCGTTCACTCGGACTTGAACCTCCACGGCGGCCGTCAATTCCAGACGCCACTCGATTGCTGGCGGATACGTAACATCTGTCCAAGTTGTGATGCCTCGGCCCAACGCATGAGTAAAGAAGGCGGCAGGCGGCAATATGGAGCGTTGTCGCTATTATGTTTGTTACAACGCGGGATACCGTCGTTAGCACGACTCCTTGCTCCCAAAAACCGCGGGTGCCGTATTAGACAACTGTATGTGTTGCTGGCAATCCCGAACCATGTAATTCCTGAACGCCGTAAAAGCCCTCATGAGCACCGCCATTCCTTTTCCCGTCCAAACGCCGAACCCATGCTGAACCGGCCGCGATGCCGTTGCCCTCGAGCGTGAGTGCCGGCCGCAAACCATATTTAACGAACCGCCGACGACCCCGTACCCTCTCATGACGCCCACCGGATCCCCACCTCCAGGCAACTGAGATACCTCACGCGCACCTCGTCCTCCAAATCGCCCTCCTCATCCTCCGCCACCACATCATCCACCGCCTTCAAGCTCCTCGTCCTCATTAACACGCGCAAGTCCTTCTCCCGTGTAAACAGCCCCGCCACCTCCACCGCCTTCGCAATCGCCTTGCCCGTCGCAACAAACACCACATCATCCAACGCATCCGAAAACACCCGACCTGTCCCACCACTCCCCACACCACCACCACCACTATTACTCCCCCCCACCCTCAGCGCCGCCACCCTCGCCGCAAGCGGCAAGCCCGTCGTATTCTGCCTCCCCGGCGCCTTCTCGAGCGCCTTCCTTGCGCGGCGCACCAGGCTCATGAAGGAGGCGCCGGACGCGACCTTGATGACGACGGTGTGGGCGGCGCGCGGCGACGGGATGTATCCGTCCGGGTCGGCGGTGGCCATGCGGGCTTCGACAGTGGCCGGGGAGGCGGCGCGGCGGGTGCTGTTGGGTGTGATGCGTGGGTGGGCGGAGGGGGGAGGGCCCGGGAGGGGGCGTTTGTGGATGCGTGAGCCTGGTTGCGGGGGCGAGGGTTGGTTAGTCTTGGGTATGGGGGTGTTGGGGGGATTGGGGGGTGGGAGGGGAGGACGAACCATGGGGGATTGGTGGCAGTTTTGTTTCTGGCTTGTTTGGTAAGGGTTTTTTGTCCTTGGCTGGATCGTCAGTGGGCTTGGTTGGGGCCATCGTGGGCGGGTTTGCTCGGTTCCTCGATGATTTGAATGGTAATGCTGTTTAACGGACTCGGTGTTCTGAGAAAGCTCGACGTAAAAATGGAAAACCTCTCCCCCGTTTTGTTGAATGTATTCGGTCGATTAATGGCGTTGGGGGGTGGACTTCGACTTCGATGTTTTCGAGGTATCCGTACTGGTTCTCTATTGGGCAGCGCAGATGGTCCACTTCCACTTGAGCCGATGGTGGGGTGGTCATGCGCGAAGACCTGGGGGCACCCACTTTGGTCGCCCACCGCCTGCCTGTTTCAGCAGCTCTCTCCACACGAGTCGTCATGTTTCCTAAGCTCCCCGAAGCCACCACCCAGGCATCCTCAGCATTGTTCCGGAACACCACATAATACTGTGATTGTCGTCACCCTGGAATATGGGTGCCTACTCTGAGAGCAAAGGACAGCGATAGTTCGTCTCCCACCATGTCAGTGGAAATCTGGCCACACGTTGCGCCCGATCAGCTTAAAGTCGCCGTTGAGACTGCCGAGGTACGCTTCCATTCGATCACATTCCTGACAGTCGCATGATCTTTACGATGGCCCAACTTATGGATGCATCCCGGGTGCTGATTGAACCTTTGGTCGTACAACCACAGAGACGCGAACTCGACTGGCTGATCGATGAGCTGCACGAAACCCTCACCAACCTCAAACACGGTCTCGAGGACTGCTATGCGCTGCTGGCACCGATAGACCCGGGGAGCACGCTGGTGTTGAGCACGCCGAGGAATGAAATTGTCAAAGGACATGTCACTCGCGTTGGGACGCGGATAGTCAAGGGGGTCCGTCCACCCTGCCGTGGTGCCCTCCCCTAACTTAACCAACTAACACCTTACCTACCTACACTCTAGACCATCCACCTCCGCCTACGCACCCTCCCCCAACAAACCCTCACCATCAACCCCGAACACCCAATCCACCTCACACCGCTCACGACCCTCCACTCCCTCCTCACCCACTCGATCGACCTCCTCACCCTGACCCTCTCCTACTCATACCCCTCGGCAACAGCGACAACCCCCCTCCCTTCCGATCTCCCACCCCCACAATTCCTCTCGGCCCAGCTTCGCCTCCTCTCCCAATCCCTCAGCGAAGCCTCCGCTATCCTCGCAGGGACCCCAACCCCAGGCGACCCGCAACACTGGACAACAAACTCCGTAGCCCCCTCCCACTTCACGCCGCCGCTCGCCCAACCCACAACCGCCAACTCCTCCACTTCCCCCGCCAGCCTAAGCTTCCACCTCAGCATACAAGACAGCTCCCTCGTCCTCTGGCTGCGCTCGCTCGAGCCCGCCGACGCGCCGCTCAACTTCGGCACCAAGCTCGCGCTCGCCATCGGCACCGCCCGCCGTCTCGAACACGACGAGTCCGAAAAGGTCTTCGGGTACTGCTGTTCCGGCGAGGGAGACCACCACCAACACGGCTCCCCCACACTGGCGCCCGCACAACTCGCCAAAACCCCCAGCCGCGAAGCGACGGCCTCCACGGGTCAAACGGTGCCGCTGTCGGGCACCCGCAGCAACAACAGTACCAAAAGGCCAGGGTCGGTGGACGTGTTTGTGCGGGAAAAGGTGCGCGTGGAGAGTGCGGATCCGAGCCTCATGTCGTTGTCGGCAAAACTGAGCGCGCTGGGCCACACGCTGGCGTTGGCGCGGCGGAATCTGGCGGCGGTATTGGGGGAGGAGATGGAGGGGGATGATTAGAGTGGGCGCTGGGGGTTGGAGGAGGTGGGGGGTCGTCGCTCATAATTCACGGGGTAAGGTGTTCCATGAGGTGTTGTTCGCATGGGGCTGGAGTTGGATGGTTGCTTGATATGCGGTTCTTTATGCGTTGCGTTGGTCATATGTAAACGGGAGGGCAAAGCCCGGGCACTTTTTCATGATTGGCGCTGCTTTCTCAACTGCATATTCCAGGATTATTTCACGGTCTTAACAAATGAACAACACCCGTGACTGTGCCGCCGACTCCAAGCTGCGAGGGAAATCAGGAAACAAAATAACGAAACCAACAACTGCTATGTACATGGCAACGTCTGCCACCCCCACGTCCAGTCAACGCTAGACAATGAGCTTGTGCTAAATCTACTCTCCCCACACGGACTCGCCGGCTTAAGCCACGGGCGACCACGGCATGGGAACCAGGATCCGGCTCTTCATCTCCTGGATCAGCGGAACCGTCTTGTGCACCGTCTCAGCCCAGCCTTCTATGCCCCAGCTCTTCTCACGGCGGATCTTGCGCTCCTCGAGATCGGCAAACTGCCATAGATGGTGGACAGTGTTGAGGTCGCCGATCTGAACGAACCACGCACCCACGCCCTCCATCACCTCGCGGCGGGCTTTGAGGCCGCGCCGCCAGTGCGTCTCCCACTCGAGCAGATTGCCCGGGTGCAGTGTGTACGAGCGCAGTTCGAATAGCCCGCCCAGCTGGCGCGGGGGTGTCGTCGGCCAGAAGCTGAACTCCTGCATGAGCGAGGTGCGTTTTCCGCGGATTAGGCTGCGTAGTTTCCGGTCGAAGTCGGGGAACTCCTTGTGGTGAGAGATGCTGTTCAGCGAGGCGTGGAAGCCCTGGTAGCGCTGGTATTCCCAAATGTGGACTGAATAAAAGCTTGTTAGCTTTGCGGGTGGGATATTTGAGACTAGTACAGAACTCACCAAATGTGTCGCAATCGCCCACCTCGGTCCTCCAACTTCCCACAAGGTGAACTTTATTCTCGGCTGAACCGGCAACGCGTGGGTACCACTTTCCAACGAGAGCAACGTACTCCTCGACGTGCTCGGGCTTCACATCGTGGAATTCGATCGAGTGTACGTACTTGCCGCGGGCAAGCACTTGGCTGAAGCTGGCCTCGATTTGAGCGTCTAGCTCGCGGCCCTCCTTGGTGCCGTAGATAAGGTTGGTTAGGGGACCCGCCTTGCGCGGGGATGGCTGTTGTTCAGCAGCGTGCTTCGAAGTCCCTGTACCGGTCGTGGCAGTGCTCAGCGATCCAAGGCCCTGGGCCGAGGAAGAGGAGGGGGCGCTAGAAGATGAAGAGGAAGATGAGGCAAACCCACTGGCTTCCCGCTGTTTCTGTGCCTCCACAAGCTGCGAGCGGAACGTCTTCTGCCGGCTGTTGAATGTCTCGTGCTGGTCCGGCTGGATGTCACCCAGTGCTGGCAGGCGGTCGCTCCGGATTGCAGCTGTTGTTGACAAGGCCCTTATTGTGGGCGCTTGCCGGGCGGTCGCAACGGCGCGTACAACACGTTGCGAGAGCATGGTTGCGGTTTTGGTTGATGAGGTGTTGAGGAGGGCGATGGCAGTACCCCAAATGAGGGGAAAGTAGCGCCGGGAGACGTTGGATGCGTGCCAAAACAAGACAAGCAAACGCACGCGCAATAAACGCAAGCTCCAATTGAAGGTGAGACAAAGACACCGACCTCGATTGGTGGTTTAGGTATCGAGTATCGTTCGATAGGTGGCACGTGTGATGCCGGGACCGGTCGAAGGAAAGCAGACGAAAGACAAAACGCAGCAGGAGCACGGCAGAAGACGGTTGAGCGGACGATGTTCGGTTTCCCGGCAGCTTGTGATTGCGGCAATGACAGAGTACAGCAGGAAGGCGCGGGCAGGCGGGAAGCTAGATTGGGAGATTGGGTATCGAGTCAGGAGGGAGCATGAAGCCAAAGAGGAGGGGAGCAATGCGGGTTAATTGGATGGACGAAGCGGGTGTTTTGACGAAGCGACCTCTTCACCCCGCACTTTAAGTACGGTTGAGGATGCAGGGAAAGCAGGAGAGCTTTGGAGGTTGCTTCAGGCTGTCAGGTTGCCACCCCCATGCTGAAGCTTGGTTGGGAGGTCAGCTGCCCTGGGCTGCCAGGGTCCAGAAGGTCCAGACACTGCCTCCTGCCCGCTTGTCAAAAATGCGGGGGTGAATGATGTCACAGGTCCGGCCAAAGTTGAGCTTGAGGATAACCCTGGCAAGACCCTGGCTTTCAACGACCCCACTTTCTGCCAGTTCGGAGAATCATTTCCACGAATCCGTATCTTGCCCCACATTGAAAGCTTCGGCGTTTACGCCCTAAATCCAAGGCCATAACTCCCGAGTCTCGGCAACGGGCTTGGCCCAAGCTTCCGAAGCCAGAGCCGCGAAAAACGCTCGCTTTCTGGTCAGACAACCCCGATCACCAAACCACCCCGAACCTCCGTCGTCACCGCCAGAGAATACCGCCACGATGTCTTGGTTCGGCGTTACCCCGTTGAAGAAGTTCCCCGCGCCAGTGTGTACGTCAATTGACCCGTTATGGTATCGTTGTTGGTGACTGCGCAATCGTTGACTGACAATGACTGCAGTGCGCCCCATGGCTCCGTTCCTGGCTGCCGGTATGCCTCGAGACCCTCAACCGCCGCCATTCTTCGCTTAATGGTCGTCGAGTACATATGAGCTAACTCTGCTTTTAAGCTGTCGTCATCGCTTACGGTGTCAACTCGGCCCAGACCGCCATGATGTCGTGTATGACCGCACTTTGCAACAATCCCGATCTGATCCGAACTGACCCAAGAACACAGCCGACGAGTTCAAGAACGACCCCCAGGAACCCCAACGCGAAGGCTGCGCACTAGGCGGTGGCTACGAGTGGTGACGGCAAGTGAGGGACGAGAACGGCAGCACAGCATTTCCTTGAGCGATATCCCCGCAGAACTGTCCGAGCAACGGACTTGTATCATAGAACAGCCAACGTCAATCGAGCTGTTGATCCCGGTCCGCAATGCAGTGAGGCATGGAAAAAGAGGAATCGGTGACAGCATGTGTTGGATTTGTGACCAAAATATTGGTTCCGCCGTCGTCCGGTGTCTGGGCGAACCTGCTCCTCGGGCTCCGAAGTTGGTTCGCCGACTTGACGTTCTGGAGCGTTTTGAACGCACCGAAACCCAATTGCCAGTTAACGCGCTGATCTCAGCGTGTTTATCGGCATCCTCCATCATCTTCCCTATTGATGAGGATGTTTTCGCTCCTGGCATAGATCAACCGACCCGTTGCTGGGCGCCCGCATTGAGAGTTCGTCTTGATACTCGTTGATATGTTGGGAATCAGTAGAGGTTACATACCTTGCTCGTGCTTCATGTATTTCCCAAGCCGTTTTGTTTTAATGCTATCGCGTGAACCGAAGAGAGGTGATTAGGTTACACTTGTCGCTGCGTCTCTTGCAGCTTGTTTCTTCGGAGGGGCCTCCTCGCCTCACATTAGCTTGATCCTGGTCAAAACAATGCCATGACTCCCCACCGAGCTGCCTTTCTCCTGCACTGGGTTTGCACCATGTCGCCGTCCTGTTTTGCCATATTCTCATGCGACTGTCAACCCGCAGGCTTATTATATTGCTAAGCAGCCGCTTAGACAATCCGTTACTCACCCATAAATCCCCGCCTCACCCCCACAATCTCGCTCATCCTCCGAGTCCTTGCACTTCCCGCAAGCGGCTGCCCAACCTCACTCTCTCATCACAAATCTCGAAACGCCTCAACTTCGCACAACCCAATCCATATTCACTTGAGCGGTCTTCGTCCTACTCTACAATGTCTGAACCGACCCCAGAACCGATCCAATCGGCTCCGCCCGGCAAGGCCGGCACCAGGCCTCCAACATCGAAAAACACGGCCAGTCTCAAGAAGTTCCGCATCCTGATGCTCCACGGTATGTCCAACCCCTGCACCCTCAGGGCAGAGAAAGCCGGACTCAAGATGTGGGATACCCCAAACGTCTCATCAACTTGCTGGAATGAAAGCTAGTTCTGCTGGGTTTCTTTTCGTGTTCCAAATTTCCTTTCCAAACTTTCCTAGTTTCTTCTACCTCGGTTCTTTTATGTTCGTGTTTTTTGCTCGATATCCATGGCTTGATACCATATCCAGTTGTTTTGGAACTTCTCGAGTCTCTCCTGGCGCGCGGACCGGCCCTGGCCTACCTTGTCCACCACAACAACCACCCATATTAACCCATCTCAAAGGTTACACCCAATCCGGCCCCTCCTTCGCCACCAAAACCTCGGCCCTCAAAAAGGTGCTCAACACGGCACTCAAGCCCCACGGCCTCGAGTCCGTGCTGATCTACCCGACTGCGCCCAACAAGCTGTCGCCCCTCGAGCTGCCGTCCCCAGATGAGGAGGACAAGCCCGACCCGGAATGGTACGCCTGGGTTCCGCAAGGACGACCGCACGGGCGAGTACCGGCATCTCGACAAGGGCATGAACCTCATCGGCCGACGCACTGCGAGAGGCGAGGCGGGCGGCGCGTGCTGAGGTACAGGGACAGGAGGGAGGAGGGTGAGGGGGAGGCTTACAAGAAGATCGGGCCGTTTGAATATTTGCCTTTGGTCCAATCTTTGAAGGGCTGTTGCTTTTATCCCATTTGTAGGTCGTACAGTATGTAAGTTCAAAATGATATTTTTTTTTTTTGTTTATTTTTCTTCTCTCTCCTCTTTTTTTGCGGGATACCTACATGTCCTCTGCCGTGAGGAGGAGGTATTG